TTCATGATTCTTGGTTTGATGGTGATGGACCACTCCCTCCATCCAGCCTCATTTCATCTCACTGCAGGAACTCACCTCCCAGGGTTTGATGAAATCACCAACATTAAACGTTTTATATCACCTCAAGTGAATTCATCCTGTGACAGCATAGTGTGAGCAGAACACTCACACACACACACACACACACTGTCCTGAAATGGACGAGAGGCAGAAGAGAAGCCCCCCCGAAGCCTGTGGGAGATTGTTATTCCTCATCCGTGCCCCTTCCTGTTGGCAGTGAACTGAGTCTGCTGCCAGTTTCCCCTTGAGTGAGAGTGTTGCTCTGCTTGACTTCACACAGGACTGTTTGAGAGCAGAGGACCTGGCCCTTGCATTGTCTTAGACTAGTTTTTATATTCTACAGTTGCTTGAACAGGTCTGTTATTGCCACTGCTACAATAATATGAAAAACTGTCACAACTTACTCTGTTACTCAAACATCTGTTACCCCGTTCCCCCCCAAAGTGCTGTGACATAATGTATGTTGTTATATGGTGCTAAACAAATGCATTGAATTGAGTGACCCCTGTGCTTTTCTGCAGTGAGTCAGGACTGTCACACAGGATTCTTGTGCAGCACGGTGCAATGCAACACAGCCCATGCACTCATATACAGTATGCCAGAGAGAAGAGGGAGGCAGAGGGTACCAGTTGGTTTCATGTTTGTGTTTCATCTTAATTGAAAATTCACTGATAGTTGATTGTAATTTTTCTTTAAAGTTTTGACTTTTATAAAGTTAAAAAGAATTGAAATGACAGTTAAAGTTGTATCAATAGTATAGTAGAGTATTACGACTAATTTTAATTTCTGTAAATTTAAACATTGGTGTGAATCAACAGAGGAGCAATGCTACTGGTGTATACAAGAAAATCGATACCAAGCAGATATTGTTCAATTTTATTTATTTAGAATTTGACAGTTTGCATCCTCCCAGGATTGTGCTGGACTGGTCTCATCGAGAGATGACAACTCCAAAGCTATCACCTGCTCCGTTAAACAGTTGTGGCAACGGGTGACGGAGCTGCAGCACTGTTCACATCTGCTCTTTCTCTTACATATAAGAGAGGTTGCACTACACCTAACAGAGTTTCTGCACGACTGGCCTCATGCAGTGCTGCTGCAGCTTTGTACATAGCCAGTAAAGCATTGTACCAAGTTGCAGCAAAGGTGCACACAGCTGTAGCACTGGTCCAATCCAATGCTAGTGTGACTTTGTGCAAGGCATCTGCAGCACTGTACAAATCTACAGCCGCATTGAGCACAGCTGAAACACTGGAGTCCTCCTCTAGAGCTGTAGCGTTGAGGGCAACATCTGCAGTGTCAAACACAGCAAAATCATCACTGGCCTGGTGCAGTTCTACTGATGCGTTATAAAGAGCATCTGCAGCTTCAGACAGGTTCCACACAGCTGCAGCACTGGTCTCTTCCATTGGTGCTGTATCACCTGAGAAAATAGAGGCGGGGCAGGTCCTTMTCAGTTCTGCTACAGCCTTATTCACAGCGCCTGCAGCGTTTTTGAAAGCCGTAGCAACTTGGGACACAGCCGCAGTACTGGTTGTATCCATTGATGCTGCAACATCTAACACAGCTGCAGCAGGTCCACCCTCAACCTGTTCTTCTTTACTGGACACAGCTGCAGGCTCTGACTCTGCAGTGGCCAATGGATTGGCCTCTGCCTCTTCAACATTAGCTTCCCATTCAGGCAGTTCAGTGGTTAGCATGGGTGCTGCTACATTTCTCTCTCCAGGTGGGAGGAAATGGTCGAACAGACTCTTCACAGTTGTAGTAACTGCGGTGCCTACAAGGACACCAAGGGTCAGGAAGGGCATGTTGCTGGGTTTTGTCTCTTCTGAATATGTGGGGGTCAGAATGAAGAAAAAATCTGCTTCTCTTGATTTGTGCCTCTGCTAATGAGCCTAATGACCATACAATGTCAAAGGTAAAGTACGTGTTTCAAAGACATGAATGGTCAAAGGCATGAAAGGATCAATGGCATGGAGGATCAATGGCATGGAGGATCAATGGCATGGTGATGTCATGCCCCCCCCCCAAAGTGCTTTGACTGAATAATAACAATAATAATAATAAATTTAATGCATCACATAAATTATAAATATAAATAAATAATATAAAGAGGTTTTTGCGACAGGCAGCTGCTCCTTCTATTATAAAGGAGATTCTTTCTGCATCACTTATCTTGCTTGCTTTCTTACTTATCTTGTTTCCACTCTGACCTACACAAGCTTATTATTGTTAAGCATTGCTTCTGGTGGTCAGGAAATTTTTTTGAGTTGAACAAATCACCAATTGCTACCGTGCAGTTTTGCTCTGTATTTTCCTTCACCTTTGTCGTTTTTATCAGCACTAAACATGCCAGGGTGAGAAGTGTTATGTACATTACTACCTACTACTGAAAATGCATCCAGGATGATGCAGAGACTATCTCAGACCAAATTCAGAGATCATCTGAGGAATTTCTCCCCAGGCATTGGATTCCACAGTAAACTCATTGAAAGAATTTCTCAAGATTGGAACAAAAGTTAAGAATGATACTGTATTCTTCTGCATGGATTTCATTTATTTTCAACAACCCATATGTTTGAGGTGTGAATTAAAAGTTTGTTTGCTCCCCTGATCACATCACCCCTGTTCTCCTGGCTCCCCATCCCACAACGTTACCAATACAAAGTCCTTCTCCTCACTCATAAAGCCCTCCATAACCAGGCCCCCCCCTACCTCACCGACCTGCTCCACCACCACACTCCATCCCGTCAGCTCCACTCCACTGATGCTAACCTCCTGTCTCATCCACTAAGGACCAAGCACCAGACCTGGTGGGACAGAGCCTTCTCCACAGCTGCCCCTCCCTCTGGAACTCTCTCCCCAAACACATCAGAGACTGCACCAACCTTACAATGTTCAAATCACAACTCACCTTTTCATTACATTACATTCATTTCATCTAGCTGACGCTTTTATCCAAAGCAACTTACAATAAGTGCATCAACCATGAGGGTGCATTGCCAACTAATTAACCTAAACCCAGGCGACCCACACAGACACGAGGAGAACATGCAAACTCCACACAGAAAGACTGAACATGGGATTCAAACCAAGAGGCAGTAAGGCAACAGTGCAAACCACTGCACCACTGTGCCGCCCTAATCAAAACTATAAGTATTAAAACAAATGAATCTGCCAGGGTGGCCGCAGCAGCCACTCCCTCTGTCTAGACTTTATGAAACAAAAATCCACCAAACAGAAAGGAAACGTGACGAGTGCTTTGTCTCTGCAGGAGACGAGTGATCAGTTAGTTATGCAGTTTATTAGGAACACCTGCATACCTGCTATTCAAATAGAAATCAGCCTATCAGGTGGCAGCAGTGCAGGGGATTCCGTCCTGCAGACACAGGTCAGGGGCTTCAGTTAAAGATCCAGACAAAACTGGAAACGTGTACATGTAGCATCTTTCAAAACACAGTTTCAAGTTGGAAATGAAAAATGTAAGGCAAACAATAGGAAACAGTAACAGCAGTAAATAATGTAACAGATGGGAAGAGAGTGAGAACAAGATAAAATAAAACATTGTAAAATGATAAAAAATAGTCTGAACCGGAAGAAATCACCTGATAAATGTGTCTTTAAGAGAGATTTAAAAGAGGACAAGGAGCTTATCATTATTTTACGCCTCATAGAACCATTCAGTGATTCATGCTTCATCTTTCCTCCACCAAGGAGTTCATGTTTTTGTTAGAACGGTATTTTGTAAAAAGTGCTGAGCTTCTTCCATGTCATTTTGTAAAGTGGTGAAGAACCAATTCACTTTTGTTGTTCTAAATATGAAAACTGAGGATTCACCTAAAATAAACAGATTTAATAAGCAACACATCTGCACTGAACATCCATGTTGTTTGGTCACTACTGACCTCCTCTGGTTTTCAGCTGCCGGTGCAGCACAAGACCTGTTGGACCCTCAGAACATGCATTCTCCTCGCACACGACAAATATGAGAGAAATGGTACAGAAGAAGAATTTATTCAGTGCTTATACCATAAATATACAAAACTCAACTGCTCAACATGCGACTGAAGGTGAAACCAGAGTGCATTTTCAAATTACACACAAATTTAGAGCAAACTGCCAACCGTCAGTAAATCAGACAAAATATACAAACATTCCTTAGTATTTTTCTGAATAATAGTAATCCTGAATCATTTTATTAAAGTGTTACTGTTAGAGAAGCTTATGAAAGTTTTCATTTTGTTCTCATTGTTTCCTACACAAACCGTGTTTATCATAAGCACAATTTAAAACCACAGTTCACATTACAGTCCATCTGTTGCCTTTCTCACACGTGTTGGGTTTTTTTAAGCGAGAACGTTTTTGAAGTCAGAAATAACATCAGGAATCTCTTTAAGGAACAATCTCATGATGCTTTGTACATGCATGTGTTTAGTCAGAGAGAAATGTACTGGTCCAAATTAAGCCAATGTGAAATAAAAGAGGCAAAAAGGAGCGGAGGGCCAAGAAGGCATGTTACAGCCTTGGAGAACACTCGGACAGACTGAATTAAAAAAAAATCTCCTCTCCAGGGAGACGGATTCAGACTCTGCCCTGCACAAATATTAGTTCCTCTCTATTTACACTCTGACACATCACATACTCACAAAAGGCTTAACCGGCTTCAACACGAGATGCAACAGAGAGAAAAAAGACACAGTGAACAGCTGCTTCGCACTTCCCAAACTCCACACACACATTCTGAGACATTTTCGCAGGTAAAATGCATTAGAACATTATTAATGACCACAAACTGGTGATTAAACAAATGACCTCATCTTTAGATTTGATTGCGCATCTGATTGTGGTTAATTCAATCCACGGTTCTCAAGATATTAATAAGCAAGCAATCAAGAGAATATCACATGAACTTTACTGACCATGTTTTTTGTCTTTTTAAATTTTTTATTGCAACGTGTTCATTAACAGCACGTGTATTTAAATCTAGGTGTCAGTCTCTGTTCAGCTTGGTATAATTTAATTTTTATCCTTGTCATGCAAGTGAAGAGCGCATCCTGAGTACGACTGAGGTAAATCTCCAGAACACACGAAAAGCTGGAGAAGAATGAAACGTTCCTCTCAAAGAGACTGTATAAACATGCAGCTGTATATATAGAACAGTGTGTGTTGTAGGCTCCATGTGAAAACGATGCTGAACCCAGCTGGTGCATGTTAGAACCTACGAATTACACGAATGAGCGGGAAGGCGTGAGGCCATTGTAATAGATATCAATTCATTTGCACTGACTGAATAAACAATCTAATAACCGGATTTAAAGTGCAACTTGGTGTGATTTCACTGTGGATATGAAGAAGATCAGTATAGGCAAAAGATTTGAAAAAAAAAAAAAAAAAAAAAGACACTCGAGAGCAAACTTTAAAGTGATGTTCCCCCTGAAATAAAACAATCTTTTAAGTATCAAACACTGCTGAAGGTGGAAGAGGTGGTTTGTTAAAAGTCTGCAGCTCTGATTGCTTTTAATTGAAATTAAAGAAACTTCTCAAAACACAGAATCGTCTTCTCGTGTTCTCGTCCATATCACACCATGTTGCATGACTGCATACATCACCTCAGAACCTGTTAAATGTGACTGATTGCTCTTACATCACATTTGGACAAACCAAGCACTTTGGATTTACTTTCCGAGAAATCGTGATGTGCACTTCTCACCAACAGAAAAAACAAATGGGGTCGATACTTAACAGATGAGACTTCAGTTGAAGTGTCACTTTAAAAGGAGAAAGACTCTAAAATCCAATTCTGACAAAAGCAAACAGAAAGCAGAAGGCAAGGCAGTGAACTGGAATGCACAGCATTCATCTTTGACAATACAAAATCCCTCCACCGGGGGCAGCAGTGATAAATGATGTACCCCAGCAAAATAAATCTCAGAATTCTCACCGACAACTAGAGGGCACTGCATGACTTCTATTTGTCCGATAATAAATTAATTTTTAAAACAGGAAGTAGTGATTAGGTTGATAAATTAAAGAAACACACAGATCTTCATATAACTTCAGAGAGTCGGACTTGGTTCATCTACATTACAATCAGTCTATGCACAGGAATCGAGGCTGGACAGACGTTTATATAGGCACACAAACAATCATTGAGTTGGCCACACACATACACACACGCACACAACACACATACAGAAACAAAGTAGAGCACGCTGGTTGAGTGGTGTCAGTGCAGCGTCGATGAGGGGTTCCCAGAGTCAGAGATGAGCGCGTGTGATGTCGGTGGAGCCATGAGCCGGTCGGAATCATCCCAGTAGTGGTTTTCTCTCAGATTAAAGATAATGGGTGACTGCGGCGTCCCCGCATGAACCACTCTGACAATGTCAGTAGGCTAGGGGGGGAATCTCCATGTGTTTAAACAGGCCACTTGGCTCAAGGGAAGCTGGGGGCTGCATTTGTGAGCAAAAGACGCAGGAGGAGGAGGACGAGGGAGGGGTGTTGGACGGAGAGTTGAGCGAGCTCTCTGGGGCCGATCAGATCTGCTCTTTGAAGGTTCCTTGTGCGGCCCTGGAGGCGGCAGTAGCGGCGGCCGTCTGGACCGTCTTGTTGGACATGACGCCCGTGGCAAACTCCTGCTGGGCCTTCTCGAAGCTGGCGCCAGTGGTACGGTACATCCCATGGACCTGGTGAGGAGGAAAGGACGATTTAAAGCTGAACAGGCAGTAACACACTCGGAATCTATCTCTGGGCTTGTGGTGGGTCCACTGTACCTTTTTGAACATGATGAGGGACATGACGGCCAGTGAGGTAAAGAGAGCAGCGATGAGGATCATTATAATGCCCACTGGGATGCTGCGATTCAGCCCGGTCAAAGCCGAGATCCACCCACTAAGAAAAAGACATTCATTAAGGGGTCTGGATTTTGTTCGTTGTCAATAAAGCCCATGAAAAGACCAAATCTAAGAATACATTTATCTGACTAATAAGTACAGAGTGTATCAAAGCCTGATGTGTCCAATTTCTCTAAGGGACTGAGCTACATTGTTTCCAAACACGTCAATGAGACACACTGTTGTTCATCATGAACACCCACGTCTCTGTCACACAAACGTCCTGCTGCCTCAAATGTGGATTAATCCGCCACTGACAATAGTCTGCAACAAATGCATCATTTCCTACTGTTTGATTAATTTAGTAAAAACTACAAAAAATATACATATAAATTTGTATTTTTCAAACAAGTCTACATTTCTCTTAAAATGGTTTATGTCCTTAAATAGGAATAAAAGAGGTAGAGGCTGAAGTTCTGAATGTTGACATTCATGTTCACATTTTGTAAGAACTGCTCTCGGGCTGCAAGTAATTATCTTTATAAATATTTTATCTATATCTCCATGTTGTTCGTCATGATGTTCTACAGCCTAAGACTATATTTTCAAATGTCTTGTTTTGTCCAACTACCAGTCTGAAAGATAAAGTTTCTAGAACGTTAGTAAAATGTTATGACAAAGCAAATATTTGATTTGAGAGGCCATCAAATGTTTGCGAACTAAAAGAACCAAAAGAATATTTATGCTGCTCTAAAAAAAAAAGATATATAACAATGTTAAAATCAATGGAACTTCTTTCTCCTGTGAGGATTGTGACACTAAGGATAAATTAAGCTGTCTCTAGTTTTTTCTCCCTCAGTGTGTTCACGCCTTGTTGTCTTACCTGGCGCCCCAGCCAGAGATGCCGATGCACTGGAGGACGTAGACTCCAAACTGACAGATGTACACGAAGAAGAAAATGAAAAATCTGAATGAGCTGTCACTCCTGCAGAGAGAAGAAGAACATAAGGATTTTTTATTTGATGTCATTGTGGCAAATGCATTTTCTGTTTGATATTTTATTACATGATGCAACCTTGTTTATTTCTGGTGTCACAGCGTGTAATCAGTTTTTGCTATTTCTCTTGCTGTTTTCATAACCAAGTGCAGTGCCTGTTCGAGACCTGCCTGTTTGTGATGGGCTGCTGTTTGGTTTGTGTTAATGCAGCTTTCTCTCTGAAACTGAAAGTGTTCAATGATCAACAGGTTTTTTCTCTGATTTCATTGTTAATGTTTTTCATAAAACGAAGCTGAATTTGCTTTATAACTGCTCATGTGTGTGGCTCGTCTATAAGTTTGAAGATTTACTTAACTGGTATAATTTTTCCAATGCATCTCAGCTATTTCAGAGGTCTGTTAGGCAAGTGACACATTCTTCAGACCAAAGTTCACAACTTTTCAAAATAAAAGCGTGATTCTGTTCACTGTCAAACCTTGCAGTAAAAAGGTGTGTTTTACTTTGTTGAGAAATACCAAAAGAGAAAATGACACTGAATGGTGCTGCTGTGATGGAGATCATCACCCATGACTTCCATGAATGTCTGTGTCAGGCAGATATGGTGAAATTAAAAGAATCAAATGATCAAAATAATCTGGCGGGACAGATATTATTGCTGGTGGGACAGTTCTGACCTGCAGGCCGCCACTTGATGGCCCCTGGTGTAACTTATTAGAGGATGTAGAAGACGACTGACTGTTAAGCCCTGACCCACCGACTGCAAGATGCTGTTTGCCTGTTTATACCATATTTATTAATATTGAACGTAGCGCGTCTCTGAATTGCAACAAATCCGACACTGCACTTCCCTGGGCCCTTAACAATACACATCTCAATTGTGAGGCCGATAAGATAAATGGATCGCAAGATATGTTTTAGACATACAGACAGACGTTTGTGGAATATGTAGAAGCTGCGTTACTCACCTGAAGGCTCCATAGAGTGGCCGGTACCAACAGACGAAAGAGCAGGGCGTGAAGAGCATGAACCAGAGGATGGACAAGCCAAAGTCCACCCCACGCAACGTGTCCACACAGAACCAGGCCAGACAGCCGACCATGTTAATGAGCAGCGTCCCGGTATGAACTGAGGTATGAGAAAAAGAAATAACAGTAAATATGCAAACGGAGGATTGAGTGAAAGTGGGACAGTGGGACAGCCCTGGTGTGTTACTGTGTGTTACTGTATACTGAGTGTCAGAGAGCAGGAGTCTCCAGTGTCCTGCCAACTCAGATTCATTATGGAGGACCACGGAACACTGTTGCTTAATATTTCAACATGTAACACTGGACAGGTCTGATACCATAAAACACACACACTCAATACTTTATCGTTACCATTTGTTCTTGTGGTCCTAACCGAGAGTGTGTGGTTAAAGCGGGGCCTGTAAAAACGAGTGGATTTTACATCACAGTGTGACATATGACATTATCCTGCTGACATACCACAGCTGAGTGGGGGGTGGGGAGGAGACACTCGTGCTCGGGACCTGTCTCTGTGTGAGTCTGGAAAGGATCCAGCTCGTATGAAATTCCAAGTTTTAAATCAGAACATTTTCTGTGAATAAAATAAAAGCCCGAAAAATGAGAGAGAAAGAATCTTTTGCCGTTTCTCTGAAGTGTGTATCTAAACAAATCTTTTAGCAATCATCTGACCAAGTCACTTCATCAGGCCACATGACTGCGCCACATGTCCTCGTCATGTGCCTGCTGAATTCCAGTTACTCCAGTGACTATTCAAACGCTATTAGGGCCGAGCTATAAAGGCTGAGGAGGGAGAAAAAGTAGTTTATTTTATTCAGGAGCATCAATAAGATTAAGTTGTATTCATCTTCTACATACAAGTGTCTTTTTTGAAGAATTTGTCAGATTTAATTAACCAGACAGGTCTTTTTAAGAAAATATATATTTTTTATGATTTATGGACCATATTCACAGACCATGACACATAATATAAACAATTAGCACATTTTAGAATCAGCATACATTAAAAACAAGCTGGGCTATGACTCAATAGGACAGGTTCAGGGTCATCAAGTAAAAGATAAGGTTCTGGCTCTACTTTTGCTGCAACATGATGCCATCAGGCTCGGAGTTTGGCCAATCAAGAGCACATTCCTGCTAGATTACTCACAGTAAAAGATTTGTTTAAAAAGTACCACGGTGGAAACTTTCCAAAGTGGTAAAACCCCGCCTGTGAGTACAAACTGCTGTGTTCACTGTTTGATAAATCTTTCTTTCTCTTTCCCAAACTGGAATTCTTGTATTCCACTGGGTTGTCTTACTAGTACATGACACCCCCATCAACACAGCACCTTTGTGCCTTTGTGCAAACAGAGTAAACCAATTTTCTGGTGCTTTTCAACGGTAAGATAACAATAGTTCTTTGTGCAATAACCTAAAATAAACATTAACACAGATAGAGTATACTAATCTACAAGAGGTTTATATAAAGTACATCAGACCTCACAGTTACAAATACTGTTCACCAGAAACTAACTGGAGCCACAAGATCGATTAAGTGATTATCAAATCAGAATATTCCGGAAGGCTCCACAGTTATTCATTTAATGGCTACAAGAACTGCAAACACACTTCATCTGTGGGTTAATCCACCTCTTATTGCAGCAGACGTCCTCAGTAGTAGTGGTAAATGTCAAAATTAATGTTAGTCTGTAGAAGAAGAGAAAAAGTCTCTAGAAAAGCCAGTAGGATTCATCATGTCGGGAACGTGAAGGTCTGCAAGTAAAACTGTATTCTATAGCTATTTAGTCTGGACAAATGTGGTGTACTGTTAGTATGACTACAGGAATAAAAACTACAACTCACACATCCAGAGATAGTACATGATCTTGACTGTCTTCTGAAACTCGACAGGAATGTCCACGGTGATGTCGTGGTAGAAACAGGGACCCACGGGGAGCTTCTCTGGGAGAGGAGGCCAGTTGTTTTTCCTTCCTGAAACAGGAGAATAAAAGTCATGATTGTGACCGACTGTAAAGCTTTAAAAGAAATTATGACTTCATGTTTCATTTGGGACTCGTCAGACAATTCAGTAGTGTTTCTAGGGTTTTTTTTTAAGCAGTGGTGGCAGGCCGTGTCCGCACCCTCCGCACAGTCATCCTTTCAAGTACTGTTCAGGTCCAAACAACCTCTGAACAACCCAACTACCAAGGGTGAGTCAGTTTATGAGCCAGCTGCACTTAAGTGTTTCACAGTAACAACATTTACTGCAGAACGTGTGCAGCACAGTAAATTCATTCTTTGATTTCCAGCCTGGATTGTTGTAGTGCGTGTTAACACCAACAATCGTCAGCTGATGTGTTATGTTTCACACAGATGTTGGCTCTGACACATGGCGGAGAAGCTGTATATTGTGGCTAATGTGGTTCAAAGGAGAAATGTCAAGCTGTCATCTCTGTAGATGATCGATGAGAATTAGGTCATAATATCAACCTTCCTGTTTGTAGAGTGAGGCTGCATCCACTACTTAACATTTAATCTGAAAATAAATGAATCTGCTACAGATTGGCCTGACATCCACCCTACTGACTTTACGAGCTGCTAAAACAGAGAAGCTTGGTGACACAGAGATGTTTGATAACAATGACCAAGACACAACCACTTGTTGATTGGGAGTGTCCGGTCATGACGTAGCCTTCGGTGATTCGTCAAGCTCCAATCACATGACCCTCTTCCAGAAACAACTGGCATTAGCCTCGGCTACCAGTGTAGAACGGAACCTGGATCATCAATTACAAGCGTTGCTGACCCTGCGGTCTTTGCTAACAGCTGTTGTGTGCAGTTAAATGTGTTGGAGATGAGCTGTTATTCAAACAATCTGTGACAATTCTGCAGCTTACAACCAAATGCTTCCTATTTAAACAGGAACACAGATGCTGTGTGTACATGAGCAGTCACGTGACATAGCCTTTAAGGCGTGTTAGAATGATCAGAGATTAAAACCGCTTGTGTTGACAGATATGTTTGAAAATACTGTTTTAGTAGTATGGATGCAGCCTGAATATGAAGCAAGAGCCAGAAAATAATTAGCCCTGAAAACAAGGGGAACAGTTAACGTGGCTCTGCCCAAAGTTAAACCTTTAAATTTGACTAATTACCACTCATTTCTACTGACACCATTTATTAGCTTGGTGCAGTGACTACATGGCATCATTTCTGCTTGCCTTCCGGCCACATGGTGATGCAAAAACTTCCAGGTGTCTCACTAAACCAAGATCATGTGTTATTAAAAGTGTGACAAAAGAAAACAAGTTATTACACCGAATCCAGTTCTGATCCGAACAGAAAAGCAGTTTCCTGATTTGAAGGGTAATTCTTTTTCTGTGTTCATCTTTTTGTTGGGCCAGTATTGATCTGGAGCTGTATGCCGGTGTCTGGTGCTGACCTCCTGAAGCACTGAGTGACTGCATCTCTCTCTCTCTGCGATCCAGCTCCGCAGCCTTCCGTTCCAGCTCCTCCTGACGCCTCAAGAGCTCGGCAGCTGCTCGCGTCTGCTCCTACACACACACACACACACCAACGCAATGAAAAGCCATCAACACAATAGCGAAAGTACAGGAGACTGTATGGCAGGCTATTATTTTTCAGCTCACTACAAATTCTCCGTTTCTACTTTTGGAATAAATCAATTCCCTATAGGGGCCGCGCCAGCAGGAAGAGAGAGAGAGACATCACAACAACATGCTCCCAGGAGTCTGCCGACAAATGAGATGCAGCATCACAAGTTATTTCCTGTGTCGGCCTGGAGCTAGAGCCCGGTCACGGATGCAGACAGCTTCCTGCTGAGCTGCTTTTCTGTCCACAAACTCAGCATGAAACCAGCTGTCATTGTAATTCATGTTCTGCCTTCAGCACGAACCTAAATCTCTGCTGCTGATGTTGGACAGAACCATTAGAAATGTCACAGCCTGCTTGCTTTTAACACCTACTCCCAATAATATAAGCACATGAGAAAAAGACGAGAACCATTCAGTATAAAGTTGCAGTAAGAGCAGCAGTGTTTTGAGAGCGTGAGTTCCACCTGCGCCTGAGGCTGCGAGTAGGCCGGAGGCTCCTCTGTGGGTTTCATGATGGCGGGTTGTGTGTTGATGGTGGGTGCAGCAGTCTTGGGTGCCATCCCTGCGGGCGCCTATGGATAGGAGACACATATTCATTAATAATCAACTCCCCCCAAACTGTCTCATACAATGTTGGAAATCTCTTCTAAAATGCTTGTACAGCCAGAATCAGGGCAGATAGAGCTTTTGAAAAATGCATAATTTGTCAACCCAGAGTACTGAAGGCAAAGTGTCCTATGAGTGGAGAAGTGAGGATAGTTGATCAATTATTTTCCAAATAGTGACAACAAGAGCTGAACAATTAACAAGGATTGGCTTTTTGTATTATGACTACTTCCTTGTTTTAGACTGATCCGTGCATTTTCGGTTTTGAATCACAGTTACAGAGCTCTCTGGTGGCACGCTGTTAATCTGCATATCACATCTAAGAGAATATGTAGACTAATGAGCACAGGGGAGGAATGTATTGTGCTCAGGTGCTTCTTTTATTTCACCATTTAACAAAATATTTCTAAACAGTGAACAATGTATTCCCATCGCTATACTGCATCATGTGAAAGTTCGAAAGAACGAGGATTACTTATAAATCCTGTCAATGTTGTTCCACACCACTGTTTGATAAATGAGCTCAGTGAATAATCTGTAAAAGCACTCACTGGTTTGGCATCTGTGAAGGGGTTGTACTCCTCCAACCCAGGAGGAGCCGTCTGTCTTACTTGGGTCACTGACGGATCCTGAGAAAACAGGATGAAAAGAACAGGAGAGAGGCTGAATGAAAGCAGCAAACAGCTCGAGTCTGACTTCAGAACATGGCAATGTCAACTCGACTATCTTTGAGTTTTCACCAAGGACACCAGCAGAAATCTCTATAGTAAAAAAAATACCTCATGAAAGTGTGAAAACCCTCCATTATTCTGTCAAATCAAGGACAAACAGCCCTCGTTATTTGAAATGCACCAGGCCTATAATTCAATACTGACAAAGACGGGATGATTCCAATAATTTTCACAGGGAGACGTCTATAAATAGCCAAGTCCATGCGCTTTCGGGAGCAGGGCGAATGCTTCTGGCTGCTGACGACAGAAATAAAAAGGGGGACTGTGTTTTTCTAGTTTGCCACGCCATGCACAAAAACAGCTAAAGCACTTTACAGTTCCTGTTAACCACATTCTTGATTTTGTATGACAAGCATATTTGAACAACCTTGTTTACAAAGGATGGGCCTGGAATGACAGTTTAATTATGTGAGCACTACAACCGAAATAAAAGAATGAAGCCAAAACATCCAGACAACCAGAGGTGGAATCTAAGAAAGTACCTTTAACTATATAAATATTTTAAGTTCATCACAGACATCTTCTACATGTTAGAGGGAAATACTGTAGTTATTACTATTTGTACTTTTTCAGTTTAAGATTCTCCTTATAGTTCCTATATTTCCATATAAAATATAAGATTAGAAAAATAATGCATCCTTATTATAAAAACTACCCAAAAGTATAAAATATATACTGCTGTATAAAACTGCCTTCACCTTGACCTCAGTAATACTTACTTATACAAGTACTGTGTAACAGGCCAAACATTAAACGGAATTAGTTTAGTATCTTCCACCTGTACTTGCATGCTAAGTTCCTGTTCCTCATGGCATCAGAAAAGCTACATAATCTTACCATCAGCTGTTCAGTCAGGCCCTAGTTTCATTCAAATTGCAGCGCAAGCTTATCATCCGATCTGTGTTTTTCCTGAAGTGCTTCTCTCATCCAGTCTCAGTGCGGTCTGACTTTCTGGGAGCATCTACTCCACTGGTGCGCACACACACACACACGGTTTGGTGATGGTAAGTTGTCACCAGACCGGGGTCATTAAAATTTCAGTCTATGTTGTGTTTAAACTTTAATGCAACTCTACTGCGCAGCCAAACACACACATACATATTCACCAAGTGTCGAGTTTTCAGGTTGAAGTCTACAGTTCATCGTCACCATGCATCGTCCACCTGTTGCATGTTTGCATGAATGAAAACTGCTATAGAAACAGATTCCTCAATGACGTATAAAAATAGTGAAATTGAATCCACCAAGATCCTGACGTAGGTGAAAATAAAACAGGTGGAGATCGTGTGAGCAGGTGCACGAATCTAACACGTGCACGATGCAGAAGCTGCAAGTCGTTAGTACAGTAAATAGTCATCTGACATTTGATTGAGCTAAAGAGACAATTAAATGGAACATCTACACTTCCATATACAGCCTTTCATTTGTTCTGTCATCAGCCCACAAGCAGAAAAAATAGGCCAAAACAGAGGGAACAAATCCCAGCACCACATGTCGTCCATGAAGGCAGCATATGATTTCATGAACTATTGAAGATAGCTCAGAGTAGTGGAGGGAGCTCCATCTCTCCTCAGGCAAAAAAAAGTGAAGGGCCCTGGAAGGGGGTTCATTAGTCATGTCTGTATGTTCCTGGGGACCAAGTGAATAATTCACTCTCTGTTCGGTCAAACTGTGCCGTCAGCACCTTCCGCAAGTCACACACTGACAGAGAAAAATGATGGAAGGACTTTTATAAGTTGATGCAATAAATCAAAGCTTCTAATGTGAAGAAAATCACTATTTATGGCTATAAACAGGAATATGTGTGCAATAACGTATTATAGATCAATCTCATTTTATTTGTAAAGCCCTTATTCACAAATCAGTTTGTCTCATGGGGCACACAAGGTGTGACATCATCTGCCCTTAACCCTCATCAAATAATTAGTCAATTGTGGTATTTTAAACTTATTAACAGAAAAGAAAATGAATTTGATGTTTACCTGACTATTCACTTATATATCTGATGTGCTGATAGTGGTATCAGAAATGTTCTTTCATTGTTTTGCATATTCATAAACGTCACATTAGGTAATATAAATGACCCTAACACAGCACATTAGACTGTTCAATGCTTTGTTTGTGTGTCACCAACAGTCCCAAAGTTTCCCTCTCCTCTCACATTTGAGGAACTCAAAATGTCCAATCTTGTGCTTGAAAAATAACTTAATCAGTCATCAAAAATTCAATAACTTTCCACTGACTCATCGATTAATCGACAAAGAGCTGATCCTCCCCTATTATCTTGGCATGGGATTCGTTTGAAACATAACAAATGCTTACTATGTGCTGCCTTTTGTACTAGTGCACCTGAGGAGTGGAGCTGGAGGAGGGGAGGACACAGAGGGAGCACATGATCCAATGTGTTCACCATGACACTGAAAGGAAAACTAAAGTAAAGCTAAAGGTGGAGGCCTAAATAAAGTTTAGTTTGTCCAGTTTGTGCTACTGTCAAAAAACATGGCGGCCTCCTTAGAGAGGACCTGCTCCTGATGTAAATATCAAGTATTTAAACAGAAAGGGCCTGTTCTAGGGTGAAGAAAACAACAATGCACACGATTTAAATTAGTACACACCAGTGAACACATCACTAGGGTTATTTTATATTCAATTTCTGCCAATAGATCCCTTTCACCTAAATCTTACACTGAACCATAGACTGACACACACCGCTGCCTGACACCTCAGTGTGTTGTGTCACCACTGGAAACCAAAGTGAACCACCATCGATATATGAAGTGTCGCTGTGAGTGAAGACACAGTTTTCAATCATCAGCTAGTCTCACCACAGCAGCTCAATCCACATCACCCACAGCGACACTCGCTCCGCTCGTTATTAATGTGTAACACTTCAGCAGCTAACGCTAATGTGGCTACCTCCGCTAGCTAACGTTACCTGGAGCGGGTTGGTGAAGCCGGGCTCCGCGAAAGGGTTGCTGTCGAAATCCGACATGCTCGCGGTGTGAGTCCTCGCCGTTAGATGCGTGTGACTGGTTTGAAGGCGGACGTTGAGACCGACTCTCGCCGCGGATAAAAGCCCCGCTAGGTCTCGCTGTGAGGCGGACAGACGCAGGAGGTGTCACGGTCTGAGGTGAGGTCAATGTGGGCAGCTTCAAGAGAGTCTACCCCGGCGGAGGGATTGGTCACCGGCAGCGAATGGCATGAGTCACAACCAGGCGGAAGTAGAGAAACGTCACGTCGCGTTTTTCAAAACAAATCTACACCGTGAGTTCAATCCCTATAGACTGAAGATAAATCTACTTCAGACCTCATGAGGTTTATCATCTGAACTCTTAATTACATCCAAGAACAGGAACAGCTTATCTGTACTTTAACTTAAGGAAGTGAATCTCTTCAATCATGTTCTTTCTAATGAAAGATCGGTTAAAGTTACATCTTCTGAGCTCTGAGTGTTATTTGCAAAGTTTTTATAATCTGAATACAACCTCGTTATTTATAACTTTTTTTTCTTTTTAATTTTAAGAGGAGGACATCTCTGTTCCACATGTCACCAGCAGAGGGTGTCCTTCAATCTAAACATTTTTATTTTGGAGTTGCTTCACCTTCTCTAAGTATTTCAGTATCATATCGATCATCATGTTCATTTTCACATTGCTCATCCTAAAACAGAGCCTCATCTACTTTTGCATTGTTCATAATCTGGCTGATTTTGCATTCAGCTGTGAATGGGAAAATTGGAAACAAGTTTACGTCATGAAAGATTTAGAATTATTCCAGCAAAGTTTCATATCCAATATTGTTAATTTTCCAACAGGAACCTGTTGTTTTTCAGAACTAGTTTTAGCTAGATAGATAGAAAACATAACCTAAAACCAAACCATACTGTGCACAGGTAAAAATGTGTCTCTATGGAGGCAGTGTCCCCTAACAAACTTCTCTGCTTTGAAAATGTGTTGTATATGATGGCAAGCAGTTCATTTATCACCACTCAATGCATCAAGGAGGAAAGGGACAGAACAAGTGACACTGCTAAATGCTAACTAGTTCTGAAGGCCGTCCTTGATTAACAAATCATTTTTAACCAAAATGTCCTCACATGGCTCAGATTTATCTTGCAGATCCCAAATAGCTGTGTCCCACTGAAAGAGAGTAACCATGACCATGGGACCATTAGACACAGAGACGCTGGTTGTTTGTTATGGCTATTGAACTCAACAGTGATGTCATGGCTCTCCCAGACACAGACAGTGAACATTGTTACCAGTGAATAACATTTGAGTGTTACCTACTGTACAGACATTCCTGTATTTTATCTATTATACTACTAGACTATAGTTAGTATGGCTGAGGCTTGTGGTAACAGCATAGCTTATTATATAGCATCGTCTTTTAAAAATATTTTTTAATTTGACAATCTTCAAAGTAAGTGGTGGCTGTTAAAGAAATGTAGTTGATTTATGTGGTGATGAACAGCATCACTGCTGTCAGTGCAAAACTGAAAAGCCTTCTGGTGGCATATAATAATGATACATTCAGAATATTTCTCAAACTTTTCAAGATGGACAAGTATGACCCACATGTTTGTGACTGGTATCTCCTCATCTTGTGTTCGGACGCGCTGAAACAAAAGTGTACATGTGTTTTAAAGGTTCAGTGTGTAGGATTTAGTGGCATCTAGTGGTGAAGTTGCATGTTGCAGGTGAATACCCCTCACCTCACCCTCCCCTTCCAAACAGGAGAACCTGAGATGCCTTCAGTTGTAATAAAAACTCAAAAAGTGTTTAGTTTGTTCAGTAGAGAGGACCAATCCTGATGTAGATATAAAGTATTTAAACATAAAGGGCTCATTCTAGGGTAAAGGAAACAACAATTCATCCAATATAAGTGATTACACACTATCAAAATCATCACTGGGATTATTTTATATTCAGTTTCTGCCAGTGAATCCCTTTCACCTAAATCCGACTCACTGGATCTTTAATCCAAAGTACTTATAAAGTGTGATGATTGTACTAGTATATTTTTGTGCTGTATTTTGTAATTCAATAATTTAAAATGTGAAGACTGATGTGGACCTACATGTCTGAAACTAAAACTATTTAAAAAAGTATGTAAGATATAAAACAGTACAGCGGGTAGAACATGAAATGGAAACATAAAGGGCTTTTTTTGTTTCTTAATTTTGTTTTTATTCCACACTTTTACTAGCCATTTTATAATTTTATTTTTCTATTTATTCATTCATCTCTTTTTCTAAATCTCCACTTAACTGCGTGCGTTTCCTCTAATTGTTCATTTTCATTGCTTGCTGTGTTTTATGTCTTACTATGACCTTTGGACGGCACTCACCTGTATTCAAGCTGCTGTATCAATAAAGTTTGATTGATACAGTAAAGTAATACGTAAAATACGTAAAACTTTCTGTCCTTCCTCTTCCCCCTCGACAAAACCCGTAATAACGTTGTTACCCTGGCAACACAGCGGCTCGGAGGATTCCAGACATAGATCTACGCAGTGTAAACCCGCGGCCCCAGCAGACGTCCCCGCGCTGCCTCTTCTGTGTGCTGCGGATCTACGAGCCGTGTGATGCCGAGGCCCTGTCATGTGACACCCGCTTGTCCAACTCACACTTCCGCTGCTGCGTGAGAAGAAGAAAAGTTGGCTGGAATCCGGGAGAAGTTTGCTGCCGCTCGGTCCGACGCCACGAACGTTCCCTCGCGTTTATGAAGAGTCCGCCGCCGCGTAGAGGAGCAGAAGGACGGTGACTAATCCAACATGTCGACGAGCGCCTTGTACAACGACCAGGGAGGAGCGGAGGCTGCGGTGGAAGCGGGGCAGGAGAGCACCCCGACCTCCTCCGGCTCCGGTGCTGCCTTCGGACTGTTCAGCACCGACTTCAAAAAGTAAGACTGCCCGACGCGTCCCTCCGCCCGGACTCGGACACGGTTCACCTCCGGTAAAGCGGCACCGCTGCAGGCCACTCTGTGGAGCTAACACCGCGGTGCAGCATCAGTCAGACGCCGTGCAGCGGGGGCCATTTGTCGGTTAGCTCTTTGCCATGGAGCACCTGAATATCCAACTGTCGTATATCAAGAATGAAATAGTTTAGAAGACATGTCTGGGTTCGATCACACACCTGCTGTGCTGTTCTATCTAATCTATGTATATCAGCGTCTGTATAAAGCCGCTATTCACTAAGGAGAGCAGTCACAGCCCTTTAATATGTTTGTTTTCAGCCCCCCCTCCTTCTGTAAGTTACATGGCAGCTTCATTCATTCCCAACTCATTCAGCAACATAACCAGTACCCCAGAGAATTACTTCAATATTATAAATAAACTGCAACTTCCTGAATGAGAGTATTTACTACTTTCCAACTTGCTCTGTAGTAAACTCAGCATTGTTAGGTATTTATACTGTAGATCAGACAATTTACGAATTTACTCTGCTCACTTAGGCTTCAGTGAATTATGGGGGAGGTTTGATAAATGACTGTATGTTGCAACCTTATCCTGTGATGGAGAAATACTGCCATGTCCGAGTTGTCCCTGTCTGATGGTTGCTTTGCATCTTTACAACCAATGACTTTGGGTTTAATCTGCAGCTGACTGCTGTGCAGAGTTGGTTAATCCGTGCAGGTTTGAGTCCTTATTTTCTCAGTTCAGTAGTATTTCTTTTCCTCCGGCCATTGTCACTGGCGGACTCAAAGTGAATCAGGAGAACAGATTGTGTGAGCTGTGTAATTTTATGTCAAGGGAGGAAAATGATTGTAGAGGTTTTTGTACACTGGTCATTTTATGTAGACTAATTTCCCATAAAATGGATTGACAGAATGGAATTTAAATGTGCAACAAGTGTTAACAAGATATATTTGATATCAACCTTATTTCATTTGTCATTATGATATCTGTATTTATCAGCGTGAAAGGACGCAGAGCTAGGCTCAAAGGAGAGCCATAGTAGATTCAGCTTAAGTTTGATTTGCTGAGTTACAAACAATCAAGGTCTCATATCAGAGTGTGAAGTTGACTTTTTTGTAATGTCGTACTATAAAATGGCATCAGTAAAGGTCTCAAGTCCTCTTTAAAGGGATAGCTCACCCAAAAATGAAAATTCACACATCATCTGCTCACCACTATGCCGATGGAGTGGTGGGTGAAGTGTTGAATTCACGCTCGCGTTCACACACTGCACACAAGCTGTTTCCCAAGGGGGCCTGAGACGAGATCAGGGAGAACTCGCAATAAGTACCTGTAGCATCGCTATTTCCGGTGGCATCGCTACATAGCAGCACTTACTGCAGCGAGTTCTTTCTGAAGCCCTCTAGTGCCCCTTGGGCGAGATCATAGAGGCACGAGCTTGTGCGGTGCATGCACGGTAGCGTGAGCGCGGCTCTGGGCTGAGGATAACAGCAGACATTTAGGCTAAAAACATGGTGTGAGAAGCTGTTTCGAGTTGATGTTCACCCAGACTCCAAAGTGTGGAATCAAACACTTCACCCACCCCTACTAGTAGATAATGAGTGAATTTTCATTTTTTGGGGAACTATCCCTTTAACCTGCATACTGTTCTCATTACTCTTTAGTATTGAAAGCAGACAAAAGGTGTGCAAGCTGGTGGAGAATGAAGTCATTGAGCAGATGCTGCACAGCCCAAATATGTACAGTATGTGTACTTTTATTAACCAGTGAGCTTCTTCCACTTCTGAATTTAGTGACAGCCTTTCTTTAGAAGCAGAGTTTTTTAAAATCCATGTACTCTAAGCAAGAGTGTGTTTGATGGCAGACGTACTAGGTTTATAGTTGCTACATGAAATTATGTTTGCAGATTAATTCTGATTCCTCAGGGCCTCTCTGACAACCTGTGACAAAACTGGCTATTAAGTAATTCACATATAAGTTCTCAGTAGTAAAATCCAATCACCTGTAAAATATAATCATATAAAAATGTATACAAAAGTAGGGATTCATAAAGATGGGCTGTAAATCATTAAGTTACACCAACGATTATTATCATTATACATTTGTTTTTTGAGAAATATATGTTTGTTTTAGGCCATAAAACACAACATTATCTAAAAAGATCAGTCCCAGTTTCTTTTTTATGTCTTGTTTTGTCTGATGTACAGTCCAAACCCCCAAAATATTGATTTTACAATCAAATAAAAGCAGGTAACCTTCATGTTTAAGAGACTGAAAACATATTTAGGTCAAAAGTAATGCTTAAAGGTACAGTGTGTAGAATGTAGTGACATCTAGTGTTGAAGTTGCATGTTGCAGCTGAACACCCCTCACCTCACCCTTTCCTTCCAAACATGACAAAGAACCTGTGGCAGCTTCAGTTATCATAAAAACTCAAAAGGTGTTTAGTTTGTCCAGTCTGGACTAATGTAAAAACATGGCAGCCTCCGTAGAGAGGACCCCCTCGATGTAAATATAGTATTTAAATATTAAGGGCCCATTCTAGGGTAAAGAAAACTACAAGTCATACAATTTTGATGAATCACACAAGTGAAAACATCATGAGGATTATTTTATATTCAATTTCTGCCAATAGATCCCTTTCACCTAAATCTTACACACTAAGTGTGGATATATAGGACATAAAAAGTTTATTTGCTTTTGTATAGTCAGAGTTTGAGCGCTAGAATTTGTTGATCATTTTGTTTTTGTTAAAACATTTGGGCGTAACTCATATTGGTTACTGATTGTGAGTTATGTGTGTGTCAAGGGTTCTCTGTGTTTCCAGGTGAAGCAGCCAGGGAGAAAAAAAAAAAGTTCTTTCATAACTATTTTAATAATATTGACGTTTCAGATTTTAATATTACAAATCTCAAACTGGACTGTCAGCATGTTTTGGGCACGTGGTTTGTGTTTCATCTGAGAAACCAGACACTAGAGGGCAGCCAATCATCAGTGTAACAACAGCGTCCTTTGTATTGTGTAATTTGTTGTAAAATCAGTGGTTACGCATTGCTGCATTGGTTTCATGCTCTTCTTTGTGGGAGTGAAGCTACACACCACACCAAATCTTCAGGTGTATACACCTCATAAGATGCTCAGTCTCATTCCAACAAGAATTGCATGTGGTGTGTTATTAAATTCTCCTGGCAAACATTTGTGTTGGGTTGCCCTGCAGCTTCTCATTTTCTTTTTGAGCAAGCTTTTAGTTGCCTTTAAATTTAAGATTGAGTTTTGCTATATAGATGACTTTCATTTGCTGTAGTGTCAAATGTTGCTTAGCATGCTGAAGTGAATCTTTAAGCTGTCTCACATGACTACCCACTCAGGCAATGCTGGGTCATATGTTTGCTTACCTCAAGGCCAAGCTATTCGATCAGGAAGAGAATACCAGGAACATGAACAATGCTTCTGTTTTATTTCTGTCTGTCTGACACAATTCACAATACCCACGCTTATGCATCCTAAAACAAGTATCTCCCATTAGTCAGCAGCACGTATATATTAGATACATGTTAATTTAAGTTAGCCCCAGCTTGTTTGAGTAGTCAATATACAGAGACTGTTCTGCTGCATTTAAATCAAGTTGTGGCTGAATGTTTCTGACATGTGAAGTCACGGCAGCATTCCTGTAATGCTCTGTCGTCTTAAAGGCCTAGTCTTTGTGACTAGATGTTTCTTTAACTTTCATTTCTAACAGAGGCAATATCAATAGTGAGGTTTTATATGGCATTTAGAAAGCAGTTATATTTCAACCTAGGAGGATTGCAAAAGCCTGAATGAAGAGTTACTGAGTAACTTGACAAGAATTATTTTGCTTTCAAGGTTTGCACTTCTGATTCCATTATCCAGAGGTTGTGTTATGTGTGTGTGGGGAGTGTTTGACACTTTGATTGAAACACTGAAGACCGACTTGATAGATTATCATTCCCTCACTGCCTATTGTTGTGTTACTTTTCAGGCTCTTGGTAGCAGTTAAAACAAATGACATGGATTTGATTCTATAATAGTTTACTTTGCCAGTGTTGCTCACATAATAACAAAAAAAGGTTTTCACTTTAGAATATTCAGAATGAATCTTTTCTGTTATTCTAAAATGACCTTTTTTTAATCATACATGTAACTTTAAAGATATTTCCATTTGCTTTTTATTGTGTTGAAGTTTATTATCCCCCTTTGCAATAGCACAATCCATTAAAAGTCTTTTTTACTGAATGTACATAATTCAATCTAGAATATTTTCTGACTCTGCTCACCATTACTCCAGACTCTGTTACTTTCTGTGCAAACTCTCTCTTCGGCAAACTGTTAGATGGGTGTGTCTTGGCATCTTCTATAAAACCAGAGCTGGACAGGCTGCATTTCTTTTTTCCACTGTGATCTAAGATCGTTTTTATAACCACACAAATATACAGTTTTTGCCACAGTATTCTTATTCCTCAACTATTTTTGGCTACATTAATTGGAAATGTGATCATTCTGAACCCGTGCCTTTAGGCACTGTAAGTGCCAATGTTAGTATTTGTTCTCTTCAAGAATGAACATTCAATCACATGTTTTGCATAACTTGTTCTTAGTTCTCAAACTTTTGAACAAATGTAATTCACTGTCCCCTGAGGTAGTGATACGAGTAAAACCTCTACAGCAGCTGCTAAATACACCGTGTGTTTAGATTATTTTTGTCAGTTGCAGAGACCTAGTAATTTAGGACAGGCAGCCAAACTGAGTGAGGGGATTTCTTTCCATTTCAGGGTAATACTAGTGTAAATTGAGGCATATAGCTCTGGATTTTCTTACATTTATTTAGGAGAAATTCAACTGAATTCCTTCATTCATTCCTTGTTTAGTGAAAGGAGAAATGCAGTCCAGTGTTCAGCCCTTATTGGTTTTCTGCAGCCTTGATGTAGTCCTTTTACTCTGCTAGAGAAGGACACATCTCTACTCTTAAAACAATTTGACTCCCAATTTGTCATGTAAGAATTTAAATGTAGGCTTCGAATTGGTTATTGTTTTTTTTTATTACCTAAACCACCCCCTCTTCCCTCTGGCTTTTGTATTGTTTCTTGGCAGTGATCTGGGAATGACTAAAATCAAGTATAATACAGCTTTGGAGCTGGGTCTTGTTTACTAACGCTTCTAAAATTTAGCTGTATTGGCTGTTACAAAATACAGTGATATGATGGAGCCTGAGTGCTGCTGGCTAATTTACTTACTGCCACACGGAGGCACTAATCTCTGTCCTCTGTACCACTCCTGACTTAAAGAGTTTGATTTATATCCTGTATGTGTTAATAGACAGATTTCGGTGGATAAACTAAAATGCAGTAATAAATATCTGACTTCTTACAGTGAAATACAGAGCTGTCGTCATGAGGAAACATGACAATGCGAGAGTTTTGTCCTCTCATGTAACAATTGCATTAAATTAGATGGATGCACATGTGGTCTATTTATGACAGATATTAATTAAGAAACTGCCAAAGGTAAATGTTTATAATGGTATAATCAGTCTCAGCAGTGATGTAGACAGGATTTATGAAGTGAATGACTGGCTCGGCGAGATGCTAGTGGCTGTTGGATATGTTCAGGTGTTAGATGTGGCTAATTACCTCCGCAAAGAAGGTTATGTTTTCATTGCTGTTAATCGGTCTGTGAGTAGGATTCTGCAAAATCTGCTCCACTGATCCGATTGAAACTTGGTGGAACGGTGGGGTATAGGCCAAGAAAAAAATCCATAACATTTTGGAGTGGATTGAATTAAGTAGGTGGATCCAACAATACCTGAAATACCTGCCTTGAGATTTATGATAAACGTTTTCAGTAGTTAGTCAACTTTGAACAATGCCATTCTGTGTTACTCACTGTATTTTGGAAATCAGTTTTATGCCAACAATTGTTTGACCCATGGATCAGCATGTTAAAGTGACTGGGGTCATTACTTGGCCCGGCTCTCAGATCAGTTATTTCCTCCTACAGAAAAGAAAGCGTAAAAGGCATGTTCCCTTCCAAACTCCCTCTGTACTGTTCACATGTTCAGGGTAATTTCCTGGCATTCACCTCGGTGCTGTTATCTTTGATGTAAGCCTGTCCTGTTGGCCCTCTTGGCCAAACTTGGAGTGTATGCGCCCTTAGTGGTGTTAAGCTAAAGTGGATTACACCACAGTGGAGGTGATGAAAAGTAGCTCCATGTTTACCCACCAGTGTAGATAAGGCCCTCCTTTTTTCCCCTAGAGGGAAGTGACCACAATCTCACACACACAGTCGGTCACACAAAGCCAGAGGGCCAGGGGTAAATGAACATATATATATGAAGACAGGAGTAACAGGTTAATATGACGGGACTGCAGCTGAATGATGGTTAGTTCCAGAAGGACTATGGACCTCAGCAGAAGGAGAGGTCTTACCCCTGAGAGAAGACACTACCCTCAAGAGTGAGGATGACTTGCCATTGGTGAGCTGTCGGGGCATCTTGTGACTCTCTCTGCCCATGAGAAGAGGAAGGGTGTAGTGAATGACAGGCACAAAGCCAGAGCTCTCTGTGCTGCTTTTCCAAAGTTCCCAGCTTTGACAGTTCTGAAACAACGAGAAGAGAAGACAACTAAATAAATAAAGCCAAGAGAACAGGGCATACAGCCTGAGGGGAAAGTAATTACCACAGCTCTGTTTTCACTCTGGAGTTGCTGGATTTACACTGAGTTGGGTTTGTGGACTCTAGTTTTTTTTTTTTTTTTTGTCTAGCCTCGAAGGAGTTACTGGTTGTTGGAAGTGTGTTTGGGCTGCTGTGGAGGAAAGCTGGTATGGATGTGGGATTCTCTTTGCGATCGGAGGCAGTGGGAGCTATGCGGACTGCGATGGTGTCTGCTGAGAACTTGCAGCTCAGTCTGAAGACTGAGCTGAGTCAGGAAGAACAAGCTCTTACACTCAGCAGCAGGAGCCCTAAGGAGACACATAAAGACGGGTACTGTAGTAAGACCACACACACTGCTACTCACCAACTCTGGAGACGATAGTAAACTGTGCATGTTTATTAGGTCAGGTTATTGTTTCCCCATGATGTTGGCCTCCTGGATACTGTAGTCAGTAAAAGAAAACTTTTGAAAACAGGGAATCCATGTCCGCTTCGTGACTAAATAATAAAAAAAACCATTGAAATGCTTCTAAATATTTAGCATTCTGTTTTTGTTAAACTTTAAATATGAATGCAAATTTAGTTTTCATATTCTTATTGTAGATATATCAGTATTGGTCTGTATGCTAGTCTTTATAGGCTAAAAATGCCCAAAAAATATTTTATTGTGGCATTTATCAAACAGTGCATAGTTTTTTTTTGACCATGTGGCATTGACAAGTTGATTTTTCAACTATGAAATATACTGAACATTGTGTACTTAAGTTACAGTCAGTTGTTCATATCAAGATTTGTATTATGTGCAATGCTAAGAAAGTTTCTGTTGGCTAATACGTTGCTATTAAACAAAAAAGATCCAATATTGGTTCAACTATTTAGATTATTTAACTTCAATAAATATTATTGAAGAATACAACACATTTAATATTTAAAATGATGGCACATAGTATAGCCTTTTAACTTTACCATATCTCCCTGCAAGGTGAATATATTTTCAATTATTAGATTTAGGATGAACTCTGTGACAAAATGAGAGTTAGAAAGTGCCTGTTAAGTACAAAGCCTAATTGGAAATTCACTCTTATTTGACCTGCACCTGCAAAATAAAAGTTTGACACCGATTCAAATTTGACCAAGATGGAAGGGCAGAGAATCTCACAAGTGATCATGAATGTCTGTACCACATTTCCTTGTAATCCATATATTTATTTGTTGAGATATTTCACTTTTGGAAACAAAGTGGTGGCCCAACAGAAGGAGGTAGACGATCATTGGTGCATTGGAATTTCTGTCCTGCATTTTGTTTTCTGTCTCGACATCACATATCGTTATGTGAAGCCTCTGTATACGGGAACAAACAACCTGCTGTGTAGCTCTACAATGACATTGCGTGTAAGCGTTAGCATCAGCCAAGGAACATGGATTGTCATCATGTGAGTGCGTAGCAATTCCAGCAGAGATAGTCGTGATGTAGCTTTTATGCTGCTGATAGCATTCTTCCTGTTTGGTTTGCTGCTTTTTCAGTGACCCCATGGAGCCAGTGTGACTCTTGCCTGTGTGCCCTGTAATCTGCAAAGCTTACACAGATGTTGTAGTCATGGAGATTTCACAGTACCTTTGGTCAAGCTCTAAATTCTGAAAAAGATTAGTCAAGTCACCTCAGCAGGCCGTACCTTTACTAATGTTGACCATAGTAAGACCAACAGTATTTTCTGTCCTCAGGAATGAAGACCTCAAAGAGATGTTGGAAAGCAACAAGGAGTCGCTCAAACTTGAGGCCATGAAAAGGATCGTTGGGGTGAGTGTATCACACTATAAACACTGTGTGTGTGTGTGTGTCCTCTCTCAGCTGTTGAGTTTTAATAACACTAATAAGATTAGTGGATAAAATACTGCTTGATTTATTTGCAGCTGATTGCCAAAGGGAAAAATGCATCGGAGCTGTTTCCTGCTGTTGTGAAGAACGTCGCGAGTAAGAACATAGAGGTATGACACATCACACACATCACGGGTAAACCTCATCGCTCCTATTACCACAGTGGATTGTTATGATTCACTGAGTTCTTGTGCTGAACAGCACGTGGGCTCTGTGATGTAAAAGAGGGAATTTCCTCACACAGAACAATAGGCTCATGTGGACCAAATTAATTATTATAAAAAATATTTTTACTGTAGTACTAATGATCATTATCTTAATAATAATACATTTTATTTCACGGCACCTTTCTAGATAAGGACACCTTAAAACATTTAATTTGATGTTGTCAGTTGCCATATTTTCCACTCCCCTTTTGAGCAAAATGTTAATATTACATTTTATTTCACGGCACCTTTCTATACACCCAAGGACACCTGACAATATATATTATAAATAAACACAATAATTATTCTAGTAAAACCAAATGTTAAAATTGGATTGGGAGACACAAACATCTAATAACACGCACACTCCTATTGGTTTTACTCTAGGCCAATTTAATGAATTCTAACTGATATATTACAAAAAAAAATGAAAAGGACTAAAATACTTAAAACAAATGAATAAATAAATAAGAATATTTGTGGTACAGTCTAAAATTGTGTGTTTTCATGCTAACAAGTTGGTGAAATCAAGGCTCCATCTTCTGTTTTACCTAAAACAGAGAGCAGAATTAGACATATTATTTAGATAAACTACAATGTCACTCAGTAGAGTGCAACAGTCCCTTTGAATTCGATCATGCTGCATCAGATTTCACACACTCATAACTGATTTATTTCATCAACATCCATGAACTATTCTTTGAGAAAACAAGGACAATATTGAAAAACACACATCTCACAATGTTGAAGAAAGGAATAACAAATTCTCAGAACTGTCGCCGTGATTTTCCCCGCAATTGAATTGGGTTCTTTCTCGACCAATACCTCCTCCTTCCACTAAGTTTTGTGGTTATCCGTCCAGTAGTTTTTGCATAGCCCTTCTAATTCACAGATGAACAAACAAACGAACAGGGGGGAAAGCTTGACCTCCTTGGATGAGGTAATTATTTAAATGTTGTGCAGCTTTTCCTGAGAGCAATAACTCAGTTTGTAATACTTCTGACCTCTCTAGAGGTCTGTGATGAATATATTTTCCTTTATAAAAATATACAATAAACACAATATTTTGGAAATCACAGTGTTACAACAAATGCTGAATAAATGTAAATGTAAACCTGACTAAATCATACAGACTGTGAGCCGGTCTTCACAGACTGCACAAAGGAGTGACCACAACGCTAAGCAATAGCTCAAGAGGGGTTCCAATGGACAGAGCCTGTGAATATTGATTAGCAACAGCAGAATAATCAGGTAGCGTGAGGGGCAGCATGTGAGCGCGGGGGCCCGAAGCCGGGCGCTGTGTGCAAGGCATGCAGCCGAAGCAACTCATGGCAGGGTAGGGGAGCAGGTGGGTGGATGTAATTGGCAGAAGAGAGCCCACACTCACGTCTCTCCTCTCCCACCTCTCACACACCAGCTGCCAAGGTAGTATGAGGTCCTGGACTATGTTTTCGCTCTCTCTGTTTCGTTTCCTAGCTCTCTCCTCAACTACTGCATATCTCAATAAAAATGGCCTCTTCCCTCGTTTCCCACCCACATCCTCCCACTCTCCTCGTCACTGTGAGCTGCCATCGATCCCCGCTAAATAGAAAACAGCCCAAGAGCATGCAGATTATTGACGATGCCGCAGGATTTAATAGCAGTGGCTTTTATTTTCCTTGATGATTGCTGCACTTCGTTTTAACACCACATATCGTACATGAGTGAATGTTTCCGTGCTCAGTCACACATGTGAATATTTTGAAAACATATTTAAGTTACAGGTTTTACGACTTGTAAATCCTTCAATCGTTTACTTAACGTTAAATAATTTAATCAGTTGAATAGTTTGTGGTCATAGAAACCAGATCCAGGAGGGCAGATGGGTTATGTCTGCTCTTATGGTGAGTAATGTCATTAATCCCAGCAGTAATGACCAAAATGATGATTGAGAACTGTGGTGCGCTGCTGCAGGTCAATACTCGCTGTTTTAGAAAGCCGGGTGCTGATTAGCAGATAAAGCTCTCGGTGATTGCGCCTAAGATGTGACCTTACCCCCGACCTCAACCTGAAATCAGTTCTCAAATTAAATTATACGAACGCTCTGAAAGTAAGTCATAATTTCTTTAAACCACTTTTCTTGCAGTTCCACAGCCTATAAATCCTTATAGACAGGAACCAGCTGTTTTTCTCCCTCGCTTTCTGAAGAGTTGATGTGAATCAGAAATGGAGCCACCTTTGGTCTCTGCTTAAACTTGTCAGAAAGCAGGACAAATATTATCTCAGGCTTTCCTGCGAGAAAAGCAGAAGTGTGGAAGTCAAAACACAAGACCGGGGGGGGCAAATAATTCAATGGCAATTTCGAGAAAGGAACAAAAATTCATTACCTTGCTCTCCGCCTGAAACAACACTGGATTGAGTCTGCAGCGAAAAAGACAGGAAAACTTTCTGTCTCAACTTTTTTCCCCCCACTCCTTCAAATAACAAACTCAAGTATCCCACCGACAAACCAAGCTAAATGAAGACTCCCTTTGTTGCTTAGTACATTATTGTTTATTTTATCCCTTTTATAGCCTAAGACTTTTATCTATTATTGGTGTTTAAAAAAAAAAATAATAAAAAAAGCAGCACATCCTTTCAAATAAATCTGCTTAAGTTTTAAAACACAGCTGGTTTTCTAGATTGCTTTCTCCATATGCTACAGCAATTCCCTGTTGCAGCTGGTTCAATTTATTGCTTTTTGATTTAATTGTCCTCTGCAGCTTAAGAAGCTCGTATACGTCTACCTGGTGAGGTACGCAGAGGAGCAGCAGGACCTGGCTTTACTTTCCATCAGCACGTTCCAGAGGGCCCTGAAGGTAACATGTCTGCTTCCTGACAGTCTTTCTCTCCTTTTATCTTTACTAACATGGTAAATAGGCTCTTTTAAGCCATTGGACATCTATATATATATATTGTAATTTTATTTTGCTGATATAATGATCTGCCTCCTTGAGAATTAATTCAACTCTATGAATAATTAACCCAGGTACTGGCGCTTATGCATTATATTTATTCATTCATTCATCCTGATTCTGCTCTGTCTCTTTTCTCTTTTTGTCTTTCTCCTGCTTGCTTATCCAGTCAAGTAATCTCAGACTGGCTAAAAACAACATCATTTGGCCATGAACACAAATACGGTGTTTGCACATAGAGTTTGGAAATTCGTCATGTTAGAATTTTTTGCTGCACTACATATTTGGAAAGACAACAAATTACTTCACGTAGGTCCTTCAGCTCGCCAGTTGCATCCAAATTCAAGCAAAAATCATTCTGAATAGGAAAAAAATAGCAGCAAGCTCCATGCATTTTTGCATGTGCCCCTGTGCATGCGTGTGCCACATCCACCTGCATTAATATATATCGCCAGTCGAGGGTTGTTGGGCTGATGGCTACCGATGGAAACATTTGAGCATGTCTCCCAACCCTAATGTTGAGGTTTGACATTATTATTAAAATGTGGCTTATACTCTGATCAACATTAAAACAGGTGTTAATGGCTGATGTATGTATCTGTGTATGTGTGAGCATCTTTAAATGTCATGACAGATGACATATTAACCATGTTCTTTTTTTCTAATCTGACATTAATGTTGTTGTCATAACATTATCTCCACTAGAAAAATGTGTGTGTAACCTCGAAGTTGTGTGAAATGCTTCGGCTGCATTTAACATTATGAAAAACAAACATTGTTTCACAAACTGACACCTCATCTCCATCTCTCTGTGCCAGGACCCAAACCAGTTCATCCGGGCCAGTGCACTGAGGGTTTTGTCCAGTATCCGTGTCCCCATAATTGTCCCCATCATGATGCTCGCCATAAAGGAGGCCGCAGCCGACCTGTCCCCGTATGTCAGGAAGACTTCTGCCCATGCTATCCAGAAGCTCTACAGGTACAGATTCTAAGGACTGCAACACAATCTGCAGAAAACACTGGGGAAAGCCAATAACAGTGACTGCACCTCTGAACTACTTCTGGCTCTCTGTACCACTTCATTCCTGATCATTGAAGTTTTACAGTTAATGTTGGGTAATGTTGACTTAAAGGGTTTTGCCTTGCTGTTATCAGCTGAGTCTCTCTGAAATCACTTTCTGCTTAGTATGATGTGTCCCTTTATTGCTGTGCACCATTTTATTTGACTGTCCACGTCTCGAGTGTCAAGTTCATGCTCTACAGTATATCGTGCTCGAGCTTGTTTCATTCAACCAACAATCTAAAAAACATAAGAGTCAGATATAACAAAGAAAATCATTAAGTAAATCATCAAGCTTCAAACAACAAATATATTTTTGTTGTTGAAAAAGGACTAAATTGGTTTGTTAGTGATCACTATAGGTTAACTGTGTAGTGTCTGTTAAGGGAGGTTGTAAACAAGGCATCCTTGGAGTGATTCCGTACACAACCTCGAGAACAAAATGAGGGAGAGGACAAAACATGCTCATAGATAAGTGATTGTATCTGTTGAAAGCACCAGGATGTATCTGTATTCTGAGCACACAGAGGGGACATGATTTAATTTGTAAGTCCATCAAGTTTTCATATTATGTGAATAATTGCCATTCCTCAGTCGACATATTTATTTCAAAGCTCTCTCTCTCTCTCTCTCTTTCTCTCTCTCGTCTTCAGCCTGGATCCAGACCAGAAGGAGCAGTTGATTGAAGTGATAGAGAAACTATTGAAAGATAAAAGCACGGTAAGTCCATGCTGAGCAGTAAGTGCAACATAGCACACGTCCCATGCTGGTGAATGCATACCACTGGAGGGCGCCCCAGTCAAGCGGTTTTCCTCTTAGCTGGCCATCCCACAGCTCATTCGGCAATGCCACGGTTTGTTAACACCCACTTAAACCCACACATCTTCAGATGCTCCTTGTTAAGTGTCCATTTGGAGGGAATTTTCGCACTGATGCTAGTGTCAGCTTAATTTTCTCAAAGGCTAACTTTTCCCCTCTTTTTCCACCAAAATGGGCCATTAAAGAGTCGGATTCTCAAATTCTCTGTTTAGTCCAGTCGCAGACACGATGCAGGCAGCCCATCAGAAGTCAGCAGGCAGGGGCGTTCATTTTCGGAGGTCACAGCAAAAAACGAAGGGTGTTTAAATGCCAATTTCAAATATGTAGAATGCAGAGTGTGTCGCGCTTGTTTGTGCAAGTCACAGTTTGTTGTAGTTATGTATTCACAGCGTATACCTATCATTATACAAACAAAACAAAGCAGCTCAGGCCAAGGGGGGATGGAAAGCCCACTACCAGATGCATAGCATATTTAGCCCCGGTCGCTAACGAAGACAGATGACTTCTCCCCGTTGGAGCCCACATTGTGAGTGCGGGGACGGAGAGAGAGGGCACTATCATCACACAGACGCACAAGCACTATCAGCTGGTGATGCATGGTGAAAAACCCAAACACAGTGGATACTCAATAGCTATGAAGCAATGCATTTTTAGGATATAAGGACCTTATGTTCCTCGACACTGGACAGACTTCCTGTCAGTTTGGTGCAAAACTATGGGAGGGTTATGGAGTTGATTTAGTGCGGTGAGGTTCTCCTGGTCTTCTTATTGTGCAGCTGAAAGGGAAAATGCAGCTTAATCTGGCACTCCACAGAATTCTCACATGAAGGTCAGTTTACTATTCATTAGGAGGATTACTGCTAAAATTGTTTATTTAATTTTTGCAGGAACCTTTTTCAAAAATGTACCAAGGATATCACTCGGCTGCTTCAAATTAGGCTTGGAGACAATCCATGTGTAATGGAAGGCTGTGCGTGTGTGTGAAGTTTGACAAGAGCTTTTACAACGCAAGGACAAAAAGATGCTATAGGGTGCATCATGGGAAACATAGGATGGTATGTTTTTGGCACTGGACCAGTAAAGAAAAGAAGGATATCTCTTTGACTTTCTTTTTTTACTCCATCGTTTGCTGCATTCACTCTAATAACTCTGTTGTGTGATGATACTTTCTAGAGCCACCCAGTAAATGAATCGTTGAGAGATTGACATTCATGCACCAGTGGAATTATTTTCCAGTTATTAACTATATTTGCATGAATTGACATGTTGAGCAGATATTATTTATTTGCAAATTAAGCAACATTTTATTTTATTCTTAACTTTACCAACAATAAGATGGCTGCCTCCGTGTCACTTTCATGGTCCACGTGTTGTACGTGTTTGATTACTGGAATACTTAAATGAAATAAAACCGTCTTACCGATTTACTAAGATAATACAAATTGCTTGTGTTAAAAAAGACTTAACAAGGCTTCTGTAATGGTTAGCCATATCTTTTTATGGCAGATCTTTAGGTAAACGCAGTTTGTTAATGGAAGCTTTGCTCCATTTAATATCCACAATTTCATGTCCCTGGAACTTGTCTGCCCCAAAACACAGTGGTGATATTAATTGAACCTTTGCTTGTCCTGCTATAACATATCCACATAAAGGCTTGCATGCCCCCTTACATCATCTTTTTATGTTTAAGACAACCAGCTTTTCAAATATGTTTTATGCTTCTTTAGTGCAATGTTGCTGTAGTTGATATTAATCTATTAATTTAACCAAAAATCATTTGTGTAAAAGCTATTTAGCTGATGTCACTTTGGTGCCTGTTAAAGAAGGAAACATTTGGTTATTGTTCCAGGCTGTGGCGTTGTCCAGGCCTCCTGACATTTACCTTTACAGATGTGCCTGTTTGGTTAAATGGCTGTGACACACGGGAGCCTCCTTATAGGCAGGATGGTTTAAAGAGAAAATGGGAAGGCCTGATGACAGAGACAACATAGGAGTTTGTGCAGCTGTTTTACCGTGATGGATCTATTATCCAGCCATTACAAGATAAATGATCGATCCCTCCCATGCTTTCCCCCTTGTACCCTCTGCAAAATTGAAATGAGAACAGAAAGGAGGGGCAGCGGGGTGGAGGGGTACTATGATTAGGGGCTAGGTGAGACGCCCATTAATTTAAGAGTAAAAGGAGGGAGAGGGAAGAGTGCAGGAGAGGAGCGAGCACGGGGAGGATAGGCCGACCCCACACTGGGCCATCAATCAAAAAGGCGCGCGTTGTCTCTGGCGTGATGACCCAGCACTCTCTGCCTCTCTGGCACCCTAATTAGAATTCATAGCAAAATAGATGCAAGGAAACGGTTTGGGCCCCTCATAATTTTATAGGAAATTTATTGTTATTAGAAGAACCATTTGCTTAGTGTGATTTTTCCATTACCAGCTTGTCACGCAGCGTAGATAATATGGTCGAGGGTGGCAGAGGAGGGGGAGGAGGTGTATGAACTCCATAGATTGGGGTGTCAGTTTTGTTGATGGTGCATGTAGTTTACCTTGGAGCTGTGTCTAATGGGGGAAGTTGGAAGAGAATGCACAAAGGCTTGCAGCGGGATCCACATGCTCTGAAATGGTGCTGCCGGTAATAGCCTCAGAGACAGGAGAGAGGTCTAGGGAGAACGCTAGGCGAGAATGACGCCCTCATGCAAAAATGCACCAATTCACACTGAACGTACATAATCTAATTGACTACTTTGAGTAACTGAAAAGATGCATTGAAGCTACTCTACGATAGATACAAGCTTTTATTACTCAGTTTTTACGAATGTATTTATACTGTGCATCAGAGAATTGTTTCTCCTCAATGTTTGTTCGCTGTGAAACGTTTTCATTGAAACTACTCTCTAATGTTCCCTATAAAAGTAGTTTACTCCGTGGTTAGTGGATTATCTAGAGTAGAAGGGACACTGTTGAAAACAGATGCTGCTCATTTTTTTGAATGTGATTTCTCAATGCTTTAAGCACTTTGGATCAAATCACATTGGCATGTAAATCTTAGAAACTGGGTAAATAAAACCATAATCATTTGAATTGCAAAGCACCAATAGACCCTCTTCACGGCATTTTGATGTGTCACGGCAGGAAAAGCGCAGGTTTAAAAATGATACATATAATTCTTGATGGCTCTGATCCACTTGGATGTTCCAGTAAGCTTGTACGCACAACACCGAGGCCCTCAAACTGTCACATCAAAGTGGAATGCATTTTATTTTTCAGGGCATTAATTACATTGTTGAATGTTCTATTGCGCTGAGAAAAAGGTCTACAGAGTTGTGTTACCAATCTAACTATGATCAGTTGATGTACCATGAATATAACAGGAGGGTTCTTGCAAGTCCACATTATGCTTTAGATTATCTGTGAAATCTCTTTTTTAGCACACTTAACTAAATATTGCTTAAATCAAGTATTGTGCTCCAGTCGGTTTCTCGGTGTTCAACAGCTGAATCCACAAATTTATAGAAACTGTACGCAGTTTATTTTCCAAAGATATATCACACAGTTTACTCCCTTAAACCTTATTCATCCAGCCGGTGCTGAATCAAACAAAGTAAAATAAGATTTATTTTATAGTCCTATTATTTGTCAAGACATTAGACGCAGCTTTATTCAGTACACTTAAAGCTAAAACTAATCTAGTTTAATATGTTTAAGTCCTTTATTAAACCTTCATGAAGGTAATAATGCTCTGTTTTTGCTGTTTTAGAGAGATGTTTCAGCCTTATTAACAGGTTTTTGTGATATTTTGTCCACTCTATTTATCCCAATGAGGCCATGGCTGAATAACACACCCCTCTACAATGCAAACTGTATCCTCCAAAATGAAAGGAGGATGTAATGCAAAACTGTAGTATTGGTCTCCACTAGTTTTAGCTTGATGAACCTAATCAACTTGCAACTGTACGCATAGTACATGTAGTTACCTGCACACTGCATTAAGCTAGCCTCATCATGTCGCTACCCTCGCTGGATCCACTTGCAAGCATCTTTCTTTGAATGTACGTTGGATTTCTTTGTGGGTCACTCCAATAAATATAACTTCCTGCATCAATGTGATGCCATAAAATGTAGTTGTATGATCCTCCAGTGATTCATTCATCAGTATTAGTAATATGAATGTCAGAAAGGCTAATAATCATTCTGATTTAAAATCCAGATTTCCTAGAGCATCTGCAGACGGGGGCCGTGCACACACTTATTTCTTACACACACGCTGATGCACACACAATCAATGCAGGCTCATGACAACGCTGATGGGTAAACGCACTGGGTTCCCACAGGGCCACCGGGGGCCAGAAGGCTTTAATTGGGAAGACCAGATTCTGCTCCCTTTCCCTTCTTCTTCACCCTTGCCTGCCCGTGATAATGTTGTTTGCATATTAATACACAGCCATGTCACTCACTCAGCTTCAGTCTGTGAACCAGCAGGCAGTTGGGTGGTAGGGGGGAATGCAACGGCCAAATGGGTTTTTCCCTCCTACCAATGAAATATAGTTGATTATTGGCTCTCTCAGCTGTGGCTTCCTCCATGTACTCCCAGAGAATTGAACATAAAATGAGGTTTGTACCTCCAAAACAAAATCTAATTTATGAGGAAGATGTGAGAAACACTTATTGATGGATTTGTTTCAGAGATTTGTATAGAATAAGTCACTTAAAACTTTAAGGCAAACATTTTCCTTTTAATTATCTACTATCTACTTAAAAGCAGCACTGTGTGTATAGTAATCAGAGTTGTAAATTGGCATTGTGTTTTTTCTTCCAAGTGCAATTATAGTACCTGTTTTGACCAGGGTCATATCTGTTAACCAGCATTTATAATATATAACAGCTTGTTAAAGAGTTAAAATGATTGTCTAATTTGTAAACAGCTACACATTGTTACAACTTCCTTTAACTTCAGTTGTAATACTGGAGTGAAATAAATGTATATCGTTCTTTTTCCTTTTTTTTTTTCATGCTGCTGTGGTTAGCAGTCATTCGCCTCATAGCAAGAGGTCCCTGGTTTGAATCCTGTTTTCTTTCTGTGTGGAGTTTGCACGTTCTCCCTGTGTCTGTGTGGGTTTGCTCCAGGTACTCTGGCTTCCTCCCACTGGGGTTAGGTTAATTGGAAGCTCTGAATTGAGTCCACGTGAGTGTGAATGGTTGTTTGTCTCCGTATGTTGGCCATGGATACACTGTCAACCCCCCCACCATGACCCTCAAAAGGATAAGCGCTATAGATAATAGTTGTACCGATGCGAAAAAAAAGAAATGTGTTTGCTTCATCTCTTCATCTCTTCCTTCTTCTTTAGCTGGTGGCCGGCAGCGTGGTGATGTCCTTCGAGGAGGTGTGTCCAGATCGCATTGACCTGATCCATAAGAACTACAGAAAACTGTGTAACCTGCTGGTGGATGTGGAAGAGTGGGGCCAGGTTGTCATCATCTCCATGCTGACCCGCTATGCCAGGACTCAGTTCGTCAGTCCCTGGAAAGAGGTGAGACCCTGAGAACCTCAAGGACCAAAAACATTTGGGGAACAAAATCCATAAAGTGACAATTCACCTAATGAATATATGAATATATTTCAACTTCAAAATGCATAGACTAACAAATCCTGCTCATGCAAACTTCCCAGTTAATTTTTATAAATGCATCATGTCCTGTGCTCATGTGCACCTCTGGAAGAGATATATATATATATATCAGACAGAACTCTGAACAATAAAACACTTGGTTGGTCTGAATCATGAATATGCTCTCAGTATGAATCTTGTTTTATGTGTGCATCTGTCTGAACATTTAAGGTGGTAAGGCTTCATCTATTTCTTTTTGTGAACAAATCCCACTAGAAAAACAAAGCCAACAATGAACAGATCCTCTTAAAACAATTGTCTGTCGATCTAAAGACTGAGAACATGTCTAGTCTCTGTGCCATAGAGCTCCATTGTCTGAAAAGACATCACTGAGCCACACTTCTTATGCTGTATTCCTTCAACACAATGTCCATCCTGCTGCTGAAAATAATCCTCCATAAATACACTATTTACTCCTATTTGAGTAATGTCCTTTATAGATTTATAAGGACCCAGCTGTTTTAGGAAAGTATATTTTTCAGCCACAACATTAAAACCAGTTACCTGTTATAATGTTGTGGCTGATCAGTGTTTATTCCTGAACCATTTCTAGGTTTATGGCTGCAGCAGGAACCATTTGGCTTTGGTTTGAAAATGACAAACAGGCAGGAGAAGTCAGAATGTTTTGAATTAGTTTGTCTGGAGATGGACTAAACCATTGTTTTGGGCTTGTTTTTTTTCAAGGGATTTATTAACAATATGAGAAACATACAATAATACAAGTCTTATTGTTTACAGTATAATTCTCACTGTCCATTTTTACTGTGAGCCAGAACCATAGCCCAGAACTGATGTATGTACAATTGTAGCTCACAGTGAATCAGTTGAAAAAAAGGGTGGTATTTCATCTATAGTCAGGTGGATATTTGATAGTTCACTGTGATAGTATAAGATATCAATGTGTTGTTTGTGTTTCAGGGTGCCATGTTTGATGAGGACAACGAAAAGGCGTTCTATGACTCTGACTCTGAGGAGAAGAAAGACCAGACGGAGGCCAAGCCTTATATCATGGATCCAGATCACAGACTGCTGCTGAGGAACACCAAACCTCTACTGCAGAGCAGGAACACTGCTGTGAGTCAGCTTTACGTCAACACACACTTATGCTAGTTGACTTTGAGCCTTTAAGGTGCAGGATCAGCATACATTTGGAATGAAGCTGTCGGTAACTCATTGATAAAGTGTGGGAAGGTGTAGTGTGTGAACCTGTTCAGAGGTCTCTGAAGCTACTTTCAATACTGAACTCTGGAGAATCTCTGGACATTCTCCAGACTGACTCTATGCAAGAACATAAATGTCTGAATGTCAGACTTTCTCTGGAGTTTTTCCTGCCAGCCCCCTTGTATAAACTTTGCAGATATTGTCCTAATGAGCCCATGTGAGAACACAGCAGGACTTCCTCTGGAGTATTCACCGTGAGCGAGTGGATGCGATGTTTCTAACATGCAACATAACCTGAACGCTCCAGAGATTTCTGTGTGGTGAACTTGTCATGAAGACAGATAGATGGACTGAGTCCTATTTAAGCATCCAGTAGCAGAGTAAACAGTCAAACACAAGAGCATAAGAATAATAGAAAGTCACTAAGACGCTTAGTATGGACTTAATTCTATGAAACATTCTCCAGAGTTCAAAAAACTAGACAACAACTAGACAGTCATACACTTTCAAATGTCCCATCAATTATTTAAAATGTGCAATTAAAATTATGCAATAATTTTCATCATTACAATAACTTTGTAGGGGGTCCATGCACATACCTGCTATAGTGCAGTACCCACAATTTGTGTGTGTGTATAAATATACATACATATATTTTAGTGTTGCAGTAAGTGCAGATCTCCATCACCCAGGAGCCTCAAGGTCTCTGTCGCTGTGCAGCAGCGGGAGAAAAAAAATGCTCCCAAATGAAAGTGTTGATTAAAATGTGACACGCTGTGTCTTCAGTCACGACAACACGGTGACATCCTCCATCTTCATAGACGCATGAACCCTTTCATTCTGCCTGCAATGATGGACACACGTCCTCTGGCTATTTACAGCTTTGCTGAAAAATTACCTTTATAGAGTCATGTCACGAGTGCCTTTGTGGAGCCCTATGACATGCATGTGAAAGCATTTTATTTTAGCGCAGATTGACAGATTGCATTGCACTGTAGGTGGTGTAATAATAAGACAGCACTTACAAGTTTAAAAGTGCTTTTCAAAGTGTTAGAAGCATAAAATCAAGTGAGAGTAACGTATAGAGTTAGAGGTCCGCCCCTTCTAGAAAGGAGCTAATAATTGAAACAAATATCAACGAATGAAAGAAAAATAAGACAGTATCTAAATGCAATTTATAAAGGTTTGTTGTTGTTGTTGTTGTTGGAGGATCTAGTGAAGAAGTTGAATCCTTTTCATTGCTCACTGTGTTGTGTGTTTCCAGGTGGTGATGTCTGTTGCTCAGCTCTACTGGCATCTGGCCCCTAAACATGAAGTTACCATTGTCACCAAGTCACTGGTCCGACTGCTAAGAAGCCACAGGTAACACACACTGCTCATTTGTTTGCCTCCTCCCTAAGTTCACTGTAACACTGTGTCCATGTTATTGACGTCTGATGTCATTTGTTTAATGTATTGCAGAGAGGTGCAGTACATCGTGCTTCAGAACATCGCCACTATGTCCATTCAGAGAAAAGTAAGTCTGTTTTTGGACGTCAGAACAGTACATGTGTTGTAAAGTGATGCAGGATGTGTATTTATCTATTTATCTTATCTTTTAACAGGGGATGTTTGAACCCTACATGAAGAGCTTCTATGTCCGGTCTACAGATTCCACACATATCAAAACACTGAAGGTACCTGACATTTTATTTTTTATACAGTACAGTATATAGTGTCCCACACTATTGACTAAAATAAGGGTCAATATGATTTATAGCTTGTGCAATGATGTTACAAATAATTTCATCATTCTTTGTAAACCTGCAAAAAGGCACCAGTAGCTGTAGAATGAAATTTGTTGGGACATCACTGTATATTAATATTGTTGTTACGCAAAGACTGGGAGAAAAATAACAGCTTTCGTTAACCCCTGAATTCAGGTTCAATGCAGAAAATTGTGTGAAACTCAGTTTTAACACAGTGTGACACTGACTGCAGCTCAGGTTGGAAGTAGGAATATTGCTCCTGATAAGACATATGTTACAAGAATAAAAGCGTAGTATTAAGAGAATTCAGTCATCATTTATAAGGAAGTTATAGTATTACAATAATAGACTCATAATATTAGGAAAAAAAAGTTATATGTGAAATATATACATTAAGTAAAACTTACAAGATAATCAGTTTTCCTCATTTATTACAGGGGACAGACTGATCTTCTGATATTCCCCTTCTAACATGACACATGGCCTCCTTACTTCCTAAACATAATTTTCCAAGCTCAAAATGTTAATGACTTATACTTTGATCTCTAATGCTTGTTCAACTTTTCAATAAATCTCTCCTGATAATTTTTGCAGTTGGAGATCCTGACCAACCTCGCCAATGAAGCCAACATCTCCACTATATTGAGAGAGTTCCAGGTTTGTGTTCGTGCTGTTAATTGACATCAACAGTCAAGGGTTAGATTTCTAACTTTTGAGATTCTGTGCTGTTAAACTTCACCTGTTTTTGATCTGTTCTTTTTTTCAGACCTATGTGAAGAGTCAGGACAAGGCGTTTGCGGCAGCCACAATTCAGGCCATTGGCAGGTGTGCCACCAACATCTCTGAGGTGACAGACACCTGTCTCAACGGTCTGGTTCTGCTCCTTTCCAACAGAGATGGTAAAATGTCTGCTTTCTATATATATATATAGCTTTGCATATATATATAAATCTGCAGTAATTGTCATAACATGTTAAACTCCCACAGTATAATGAGAAAATGTAACTGTCCAGTTGTTGTTTCTGTGTCGTGACAACTTGTTTTGTCCGTGCAGAGATTGTGGTGGCCGAGAGCGTTGTGGTGATCAAGAAGTTGCTTCAGACTCAGCCCACCCAGCACAGCGAGATCATCAAGCACATGGCCAATCTCTTTGACAACATCTCTGTACGATTCATCATTGCATTTTTTGTACTTTTGTACCATTTGTTCGCTCTGAAAGTTCAGATCGGAACAGAAAATTGAGAAGTCATCTTTTCATTTCGCCAGGTCCCCATGGCCCGAGCCAGCATCCTGTGGCTGATGGGAGAATACTGCGAGAGGGTGCCGAAGATTGCACCCGATGTTCTGCGGAAGATGGCAAAGACGTTCACAGTGGAGGAAGACATTGTCAAGCTGCAGATTGTCAATCTAGCAGCCAAACTTTACCTGACCAACTCTAAACAGGTAACGCATAAATCACACCGGCACCAAGACACATTCAATGTGTCGATTCGAGACTAAAACAAATGTGGTGCTGGGTTAATGCTGCTGATATCTCAAGTATACATGATACAAAACAGCTTTGTGTTACCTTGATGTGAGGTTTTGAATTTCAAAGCTTTATGTTGCTCGATCTAACTTATCACATCTTCAACTCTGAGTTAAATGACTGGTTTAAATATAGAGCTGTGAAGGAGACAGCTTTAACGTAATGGGGCATCTCGTACTGCAGCTTGGTGTCCACAGGCCCATTCGGTTAGATGGGGTGATTTTGGCCTCTGAGCTGGGTTTATGAGCCCAGACGCCACCTCCTCAAATGAGCACATCATTAAACCTCTTGCTCTTTGTAATGTGCCGCGGAGGGGCGAGGGAGACACAAAGTCAATGCTGTAAAGGATTTGGGTTATTATTCTGGCTTCACTGCAGCAGTAAGGTTTTTTTTTGATGCAGGCCTTAATACTATGCAAGTCTCTTTTTTCCATGTTTTGGGCCAGAGGAAAAGGATTTTACTCATCTAGGCTGAATTATAAACCGGAGAGAGAAAATCTGAAATTGCTCAAATGAATGGTAAACCTGGAGTTTCAGCCATATTTTGTTTTAGATTTTTAAAAAAATAGTTTAAACTTTGGGAAATACACAATTTCGGGCTCGCTTAGTTTTCTTTCGGCCTGAGTTGGGTTTGGTCAGACTACTAATGCTGCCTCTCTTATGTTATCATTTATCTTTGTCTGCTGTCTTAACATGTCACCCTACTTTTCCCTTCTCATCTCACCAGACCAAGCTGCTGACCCAGTACATCCTAAATCTCGGCAAATACGACCAGAATTATGACATCAGAGACCGAACGCGCTTCATAAGACAACTCATAGTCCCCAGCGAGAAGAGTGGAGCCCTCAACAAGTATGCTCGTCGCATCCTACTGGCCCCCAAACCAGCTCCTGTGCTTCAGTCTGCCTTCAAAGGTAGTTCATACATTTCTAATATCAACCACTTATCCTTATTTTGAAGCATGAAATCCTCTAAATAGCTTGAAAATTTCAGATTAGCTGCCATTCTTCTTCTCCTGTGTCAGTTTAGTATTTCATCTCACCAAACACATATTAACTGGACCTTTTTATTTCACATTGAGTGGCTCCATTTCCAGTAGTATGCAAAGTTGATTCAGGCAGTGATATTAATATTCTAGTGTGTCTGTCTCTCTGAAGGGCAGTTAGGTCAGACCCCTTTGCCTTGGACTAATGAGATGGGTAAATTATTGAGCTAATGTTAACCTTTTTCAGACACTGAGAGGGAAAATAATCTCTCTCATTTAGCTGTCTCCTCTCTCTCTCTCCCTCGTTGACAAAAGCGACAGAAACGGCTTCGTGCAGCATTAAAATTCAGAGGCGGTTTGCACCTACTGGATGTTTATGGAAAGCATTAACCACCCCTGTCATTCTTAATATTCACGAGTAAAGTCTTTTTTTCTCTCTCTCCCTCTTTCTCTTTTTTGGTTAGCAAAGCAGAGTTTTTAGAGCATATACCTCCCAGGGCACAGACACTCATTATCCTCCTGTGTTGACCACTAGGGAGAGAGAAGAGGAAATCTGTATCCTGGTCATTTGTAATGGAGGAGAGGAAGCCTCGAGCTAATATTAAAGCCATCATGTCATTTGGCCTCCTCTTGCCATTTCTCACCATCCATCAACTTTATGACGGCCACCTTCGTCTTTTCACCAATTTCATCTTTTCAGCCCAGTTGTTTTTCGACTCATTTTTCTTTCATTTCTCTTTTCTTTACTTCCAGATCGAGACCGTTACCAACTGGGAACTCTCTCCCACAGTCTCAATATCAAAGCGACGGGATACCAGGAGCTTTCGGACTGGCCGGCTGTTGCTCCTGACCAGTCTGTGAGGAACGTGGAGGTCATTGAGCCAGTAAGGGATCTACCTTCCTCACCCACTTCTCACATCAGTTTGTGTTGGAGAAATTACCATGCACACCCATCCACATCAGGCTCAAAGACAAGGACTTTCTTGATCACTCCTTTACCATGAATTAAAACAATTAGAAAAATTAAGTGGCTTTGTTTTTCAGTGAAAGATTAATATTGATCCTATTTTTTTCTCTGAACCAGCTTAACTTTAAAAGCTTTATCGCTGCTGCTTTGTGGCAGCTAATGCGGGTTCCTAATAAAACAATAAAGGAGTACAGAAGTAGTTGTGTCAAACTTTTACTCCAAGTTTTAGGTTTAATGCAGTTTTAATAGAAAATATATCAGGTAACAAAAAATTGATTAGTCAGGGTTTTAGTTAATTGACTAATTTCAAGTACAGTGTGAATATCCAGTTTATCCAGCTCTTAAAAATACTCCTAATGGCCAGATGCATTACTGCTCACTTTGAGTTGGGCCCATAAGTATGTTTTTAATGACATGACAGCTGATGAATGATTTCTTTTCTTCACATTGAGCTTCTAGAAAACAACTATATGATCATTCCTCTGAGTAAAGTGTAATCTGGAAGTTCCCTTTTCCCTAAATTATTAAGCTCGATTGTCCGTGATTAACAACCCCTCTCTTCCCTCCTCCATATCTGTGTAGGTGAAAGAGTGGGCGCCATTAGTTGGGAAGTCCAAGAAATCCAAATCGGATGACAAGTTCTACTCAGACGATGAGGATGAGAAAGAAGAGGAAGGATCAGATGGCAGTGGCAGTGAAGACAGCAGCAGCAGCAGCAGTAGCAGCAGTAATGGTTTGTGTCTGTCTGTGTGTTTTTGTCTGGTGGTTTTTATCCTTTTTAGAGAGTAACACAATGTTAACACTTCTTTTCTTATGTGTCTTGTGTGTTAAAATTATTACCTTAAAGATTTCAGTCCTGGTTACTGGTGGTAACAGCAAGTGCAGTTTAAAGATTACTTTGCTGCATTTATGTTCAATAAGAGATATGTCATCACTGCCCACATACTTTCCTGCATCCTGTACATTAGCATGATTGTTAAGCTACACATCCACTAGAAGGTAACGCAGAGTGACAAATTTAATCTCCTCCCAGCTGTTCTGCAGTAACTGTCCCTGTGCACGTGTGAAATAACATAATTTAGATGTGTTTAGTTTCTTACCAACTCGCAAAGTCTCCCCTCACTTCTGCCAGTGTTAAATTTTCTTACTCGTCTTTTCTTCTAGCTTGAACCATTGGCTACACTTCCCTCCATGATTTACTACTGCTCTGCTCTGTTTAGTATACAGGAAGTCCACAAATACAGACTTAATGAACACAGACTACAGACAAAGTGCTCCCTCTGTGTCTATACATGTATCTAACGTTAACTATAAGTGAGCCTTAATTCAATGTTTTATTGAAATACAAAAAAGAAGCAACCAATATATACGATTTCTTTACAATGAACGACACCCCATGTTTCTTTAACTTTAACATGAAGCAGCAGCAATTGTCTGTTTTGCATTAGTGGTAACTTCATACAATTCTGATATGTAAATGGGAACAACATGAGATGTAAGGACTAACTGTGGCGTTTAATCACATGTGGCATCATTTCCTGTGAATCAGCTTGTCTGTGAAAGTAATTTGAATTCAGGATGGGAATGACTGTATTGACTTTATATATACAGAGAGATATGATTACAGAATTTGAATATGTTGAATTGCTATCCCTGCAAAAATGCAGGCCATTAATGGTATTAAAAGAGGATTTAATTGCATGAATATATAGGTTAATGTTAAGTTAATGAAAATATAAGTTCATGTGTTTAATACTTTTTGTCTGCACAGAATCTGGCAGTGAGAGTGAGGAGGAAAGCAGTGAAGAGTCAGAAAAGACCTCCACTGATTCTGGAAAGAGTTCAAGTGGATCTGATGAGAGCTCCAGTGAATCTGAATCAGAACAAAATAAGAAGAAGAAAACGACCAAGAAGGTGCTGCAGAAGAAAAGCAAGCCAGCTGCTGCTCACAGGTACAGTGAAATCCCTCCTGCCTGTTTGAATCTGAAAGCATCATTTTTCTTCACTGTGAATTCGGGGTGTCCATATGTTGCCTGTTTCTTTCTATTTTTCTCTGTCCGGCTCAGCTAATTCGACAGGTGTGTGTTTGTCAGAAACACCGGAGTCGCAGGCAACAACAAATGTGATGAGTGCTTTGCTGCATCAACCTCCATCTGTTCAAAACTCCAGCCATTTTCTAATCTATACGGCAACTCACCTGCTGGCACGATACCTCCTTTTTCACACTCTTTCTTTACCTTTTCACTACATTACCAAACATAGCACAGAAAAACAGAGTCTTGCTTCTTCACTTGTTATACTTTAATTGAAACTAAATCATATTCAGGAAAAGAATTCCATGCATAATCCCCTGAATGGACAAAAAGATGAGGTTCATTCCATCACCTTTTATTATTATGCTTCAGTAAAACCTGAACAACTCTTGAACTTGAACTCGAGCAATTTATGTTTGTGTTTAGTTTGTTTTCTAATAATAATTTTAAATGATAATCGTGGGAAACTAAACCTGTGAGATATCTGAAAGGAATTGCTAAAATAATCTTTATAAATTGTTATTGAGGTAACTGTTTGACATAATCGTGATATTGATTCAAAGTCATATCACCCAGCCCCAGTCTATCATGATAATGGTCCAACCGTGCTACATGCAACCAACAAAATGAATCACGTCTACGTGGCGTTCTACATTATTTTCAGCTAAAAATGGCTCCTTGGCCAGTATCGAGGAAAGAAACTACTGCTTGTACACTTGTATACATTTTTGTCTAAATATGTTGCAATGGTCTTTAACCAATTTCTAGTTTTGCCTTGTGTGCACCTCCGACCTATATCTGCTATTCTGTACCTCTTGGTACTGTTATGTATGATTTTAACAGACACATAGAATTCTATGTGTTCATTTTAAGGACGGGTTAACCTGTATAGATGTTGTTGCAGCTACAAGTGCTTATATCCTAGTCTGATTTAAGTTAGTACTACGTACTATAATAATATAGGTTATAAGTGATTACTATTTAAGTTGTAAGAAATGCATGAGGATTTTGGGAATCAAATATGAAAAAGTACCTGTAAATTTGTAGTTAAGCAGAACATCATTGTCCAGTTTACACAACTCTGCTAAAGAGTTTGAATGAAAAGTTGACATTTACTCATTGGACTGGAATCTCAAAATTCAACATCAATTCAACAAAAGTTTACTCAACAGATTATTCGGCCAAATTCAATATTCTAACAAATCTGATGGACATCTGTGTTTTCAGATGGGAGAGAGAAACAATATTCTGTAGCCCATACACACCTATTGTATCACACTGTATATACACTCCTCTGTCCACTCTCTGTCTCACACACACACACACACACACAGACACACAGGCTGGCTGAGCTGCTGGAATATCGTTACTGTGGGTTCCATTAACAAGCTAATCAAGGAGAATTTTCCTCCTGTAGCGTAACCCACATTTACATGGCTAATGGATAATGACTTTTGATTGGTCATTTAGCAGCCTGGTGTTACCAATGAATGAGATTTAAGTCATTACTACTGAATATGCTCACGCGCACTCTCTTACACAGCGGCAAATTTAGTTTCTTACGCACTCCACTTCATTTGCTCACGGACACACAAACTCGCACGGAATGTACCTGATTTTGCTGTGTGACAGGCCGCCGGCTGACCCTGTTCTCTCCATTAGAGAGTATAATTAGAGCAACTCACCCCAGTGCTCCAACACACACAAACATGCACACACACACATACACACTGTAATTAGAGCAGCTCACCCCAGTGCTTCCACAACAAACACAGCATAATGCCCTCATTATGGCCCAGTCATTTCAGGCAGGGCCTAATCAGGCCCACAGTGATTTATATCACTTTTTCCTGTTCGCAGCAAATGAAATCTGTAGGCCAAATTAATACTGGCTTTTCATCATCGCCCAAGTTAAAAAGCCAGTTACCGTCACAATTCCCCTCATTAATTTAACGGCTGAAAATCCCAGGCAGGCAGAGTAAACACTCATTATTGGGACAAATTGAAGAGGGACGGAGCAAGTGAAAGAGAGAGGAGAAAGATGGGAGAAATCTTTTTTGAGTGAACGCAACATTGACTTAACTTCACAAACAAAAACACGTTGATTTTTTGTTCTTCTGACCGCGTCCTGCTCAACCTTCCAGATTAGATTGGAAATGGAAAAAAGCAAGTTGACTTTAGTGCCTCCCAGATTATTTGTACAAATATTATACATGGAAGCTTTTTCATGTAAATGACGGAGTGAAAAGCAATATTTCAAATAGGCAGGTACATGTTTTCTTTTCCTTGTATTGATCCCATGTCTGAGGCAGTTTTGTGCTGTTCCTGTGTGTTTCAGTGAGTCAGATGAAAATGGTAACGGACCTATAGCCAATGCCAGCAGCTCATCAGCTGAAAGCTCCTCCGGCTCAGAGACTGAGTCTGACGACGACTCTGACTCAGACTCCCCCGCAGTGCAGAAGAAGAAGAGTGACGTGAAGTCCAAACCCAAGGTGACATTTTGATTTGATTGGCTGTAGGAAACTTGACTTTATATGGTTTCAGGATGAGCAAATGTTTTCACTAAGAAATGTTTAGTACATTTGAGATTTAAAACTCAGTGAAGATGCAACACCAGCGTGAGTCTGTCAGAAATAAATCTCTGTGCAGAGCATTTCCCCAGTACACTGATATTTATATAGTGACTAGAATATAAATATCTTGCCTTCATTAGACTGGTGTCTGAAGTTGATCCCAGTCTGTTTATCAGACATGTGACTTATAGATCATCATACTGAATATTCAGCATCGTATAAAGAAAACAACTGTCACCACAATTTGAGATTTGTTGACTGCTGTGAAAAACACCACTGACCAACAGAACAACTATTACCTACAGTTAAAACAAATCTTGAACACTGTGAGAGCTGTGCTTTTTGCATAATTTCCATTCTAGTATTGATCACCTACACGTGGCTGCCGATCACTGTGTGTTTTTGATTTGTATAAACTTACTCAATTATAAGATAGTTTGGGTTTGACAGGTTACATTGCATCGAGTGGAGCACACTAGCACTAAAACAATAAATATATATCCACATAGATTCCAATTGTCTGGTAAAAAATACATATAAATATTTCCATGTATATTGGTATTTGTAGCCTTGGCGACACATTGCATGCACTACTAATTCATGATCAGGTACTATTAACTATTTGCACTTAACTTAAGTAACAGAAAAAACAAATGAAATCATTGCCAATGGTTACAATCTCATTTAAGATATTCTATAATATCTGCAGCATATCATGTTTGAACCAGTGCAGGAAGTTAATATAGAGAAGTTGCTTCAGGAAGTGCTTTGGAATCACAGTTTATACTGTGAGATTTTGCTTCCATCAGCTTTATTTCTTTAATCTTCTTCAAGTCCTTCATTCGCCTCAGTTTTACCCCTCACCACCTTTTTCTTACCTGTTATGCTCATCATATTATTTCTCGCCCTCCCTTTTCTTCTCTGCACTATGAAATTCTCATTTCAAACAATTTGTTATTTGGCAATAGCCTATGAATTATGCATCTCTCTCTCTTCCTCGCGTTCTCTACACTTCTCTGTCTCATGCTCTTGCAGACCTCCAATTACTAACAAGGTTTCCGTCTCTATTACCACCACCAGGCGTCAATCAGAGTAGATCTGCTAAGATACGGCCTCTAACTTTTATTGTTTGTTTTCTCTCTCATTCCTCACTCCCTCATCTGTCCCGTTGTTTTGTTCGTGCCGTCTGCTCGGCCTGGAGTATGCAGAGTGGAATTTTATGGTTCTTTATGTGACGTGAATGGCGCCGTGGTTGGTTAGGGGGGTGTGAAGAAAGGGTGATAAAAGTGCTCGTATGTATAAATGCATTTTTATTGGGCCGGTTGTGGTGAGAGATAGAGGCGTGTGTTGCAATTCCCACAAGTCAACACCCGACAAGCCCGGCTCAGTCGCCTGAGGCGGCGTGAATCGGTTGTGACGCGACACTGTGCATGACTGGCCATCGGAAATTTCAGACATGTTACATATAAATGTGGAGTGCCTGGGTTTGGGATGAATGTGTCGTGATTTTGAGAGACTGTCGACAGAATTGAGACATTTCATACACAGAACACTCAACTTGAGTACTTTTCTTTTGAAGTGTCATTTTTCTGCCTGCTCCTATTTTCTTACATCCTCTCCTGTTGTCTGCCTTTTAGGTGGAAGGGAAGTCCAAGAAGGAAGTCTCTCTACTGGATCTTGATGACTGTGAGTTTCGCTAAAATCAGCATTTATTAAAACAACTACTTCAGCAGAGGGTTGTAGGTTTTAGAAATGTGTTATGTAAAGTGGTCCCCTAGCATGACAAAGAATTATCACTCAAGTGAGTAGCTCCGGTCTTTTAATCTGGTTCACTTTGTTGATTAAGTTTTCTGTTTTTCAAATTCTGTTCACAAACCCTATTTGGATCAGCAGCATGCAGCAAAAAAGCTCAGATAAATAACATGAGGACAGAGAAAGTTGCAAACTCCTATTGGGGAAGCATCTATGAGCAAACAACAACCCCTGTGCCTCATTCTGTGTCAGGCTACGCAGTGATTTAGTGCATCATGCTGGAAAAAAGTTTTCAGATTATTTCTACCTATTTATAGATTAATTATCTATAAAAAAATCTTTATTTATTTATACACTTTAATTGACATTGTAAAAAATAAATGCATCATTAAACGAGAGACGTATCCCATAAATTAAAACCTCAAGCCTGTTTGACTCGCGTTGTTCTTTTGGAATCTTACAAACACAAACAAGCTGGACTCTAAAAGTTATGATCATAGTATGATGATATCTTATCTTAGGAAACAGTTATGACAACAGTACTTCATTTCTAGGCAAATTATATCTTCTGTCTTATAACGCAAAACATACACTTGTTAAAATGAGTCAGGTTTTATCAATTTAGTCGTGTAATGTATTAATGGGTAAAATAACACCATACACAATCCTTAAACATTTGTATAAATCAATTTAATTCTTAAATTAATCGAGATCATACTGAAACAAACTAAAATATTTAAATTAAAAGGCTCCCACAGCTTTCAACCTGTGCTGGAAAAACAAGTGTTTGTGTTTTCAGCTTTTTCTCCAACCTTAAGTGACCCAAAAAATTAATTTAAAGCTGCAGATGCGGGATTTGAACATTTTAGCCTTTGGCGCCCACCAGTGGCAGTATTGAAGAAGACACAGTGGTAGATGGCAACGTGTCCCGCGTGCTGCGTTCTAGCTGTAGAAGGCTTAAAAAGTGGCTGTCCTGAGTCTTTGTTTTCTTTGTGCTCTTCAGTTTCTCCAGCAGCAACAACCAATGCACCAAAGTCTGCAGTCATCTCCTCGAGCCTGCTGTCCGACCTCGAAGGCCTGTCCCTGTCCAACGTTTCCCCCACCATACAGGTTAGTATACTGGTGTGTGTCTGCATTAGAAACACGCAGGATGACACTTCCTCCATCAGCATGTGTGGAGAGTCAATTGTTCCTTTCTGTCTGACACTGACAGAACAGCAGAGCATTATATGAGATGGTGAAATGAGCCTCTCTCCCTTGAGGAACATTTCTGCTCCAGATGCCAACTATTGACCTTTTCTGCCTTCTTATATTTATAGCCAGTCAGGACGGTACAACTGCTCCGCCTGTTTCCTGTATCTCTTATAGTCTGTCTTTCTCACCCTCACAGTCTTTTGCTCTTCCACACCCTTGAACTCTATTTCTGTGTGTCATATAAGTCCACCCTCTCCCCTTCTCTCTCTCTCTCTCTCTCTCTCATCTCTCCTCTCTGTCACCCTCCATCTCTCTCTGTCAGATGTTGGGTCCCTTGTGTCTCCGTGTTGTGTATATCTGATGGTTGACCTTTCTTAGTGTGACGGCTCCTTTCTCTCTTCAGCATGTGAGCTGCTCTGCACGTTCAGTGTATTTTATATCTTGTCGTTCCCCTCGGGAGGGAAATGTCCAGACCATTCTTTCTGCCGTTGCTGTATCTATTTTGTGTTTCACGGTCAGGTCTGTGGTACCTCTGCTGTTTGAAGATCTCAAATCCGAAAGTTTCACTCACAATATTGATGTGTGAGTCTTGTTTCTTCAGCATTCAGACATGTTCGATAAGTGTATTTATTTGGATGTGTTCTACTGTCACATAATTATATTCATTATGGATTAATTTGTGTATTGATATAGAATTATTATTGATGGATGATTGGATTAATGCTGCTTCTTCTGTCTCTGCATCTTGCGTCAAAACAGAGATAAACATTTCATGTTGTGTCTTTTTGGTTTGTCAGTATTTACGGTATGTATGCATAGCAGATCTCACATTTGTCTAAGAGGGATTTTTCAACACTAGCATGACGGCCTTTGTAACAGTTGAAAAACAGGAAGAGAAACTACAACAGAGCAACAGAAGAGGGATCCATCTTCCAGGACAAAGCCATGCAATAGGTGCCATAACGAAAGATAGTCATATTAGAAGCGACTGTACATAAAAAAACAGACAAAACTTTGGTTTCTGATAAGTACAGACAAGGCAGAAGTTGTTTGATGTGTAAAATCACAGAGTATCAACAGAGGCTGGCTCCAAAAAAATGTCTGGCTCCATAGAGTGAGATACAAAAAACCTCTCTCATGAAATACGGCTTTAATGGTGTCATTAGCTAGATTCACTCCCTCTTATCAGTGTTCTGGAGGTTGATCTAATAAATAATGCCACAATTAATAGATATTAGGGCTCGAAGAGCAGTAGGAGTGGAAGTAGCAGTTACAATATTGAAGGAATCACTATTTATTTTGAAGGATAAACTTTGTCTCTTTCTTGCCAAGAAAGGTAGATGAGAATATTGATACCACTGTCGCCTTTGATGGGTTTATATGAAACTGCAGCCAACAGCCACTTTATCGTAGCATAAAGACTGGAAGAACCAATGGACAGCTTGGCTCTATCAAAAGGCAAAGAAATTCATAAGCAGTTGAAGAGTTTTAGGCATTAAGTAAACATATGTAAGTAAAAGCTTCATGTAAACTAGAGTTTTGTTCATTTTCAATTAATTTACAGCTGAAATTCATGGGAATGCTTGCTTGTGTTGGGCAGCTTCATGTTAATGATGCTTTCAAAGTTACCGCATTTACTTCTAATAGTGAATATAGTGATTGCCTGCATGTGGATGAATGTGTAGCCGCTGCTGCCGAGTGTGAATGGCCTCCACACTGTCGAGTGGCCAGTTACTCTAAATTCTGAGTCTGCTCGTCAGTCCTGCCCGCCTGTCAGTCAGTATGATTGACAGCTGCTCTCATGCCAGCGTTTATGCAGCGCAAGTTAGTTGTTAGTCTCCCCCCTCCCCCCCTCCTCCTCAGGTGAAGGCCAAGGAGTAATAGAGAATAGAAATGCAGATTAGAGCAGGGAACTTTTTGCACATCAACATCTGATTTAGAGTCAATTCTATGCATAAATACATGATGGGCATCGGGATTCATAGACAAGGGTAAATAACCTCACCTTTATTCTCACACGCCCCTCCTCTTCACATGCACACGCACACATATACGCTCACACACACAAACACACACACACACACACACACACACACACACACACACACACACAAACACACGCACTGGTCCCAGTGTCATTTCTATTTCTCAGCAATCTGCCCACAGAGGCAGCGAGTCTGTCTCAGCTGAGTGCTCGGGCCCTTTTAGAGAATTACTGCATGGTTATCAAAGGCATTTAGATTAACCCTGGTCACTGTCTTTGACCCACCTCCTCCTCTGTCTCCTCCTCCTCTCCCCGGTTTCTGCATGCTACGGCTCTCTCTAATAACATTTTGACATTAGGATCTCTCACAAATGCCTCTTAAATTCCCTCCCCACCCTCCCCAAACCTCTTCCGACCGCTGTCCATGTGTGCGGCGGGGTGGCTGAGGCTGATAACTTTTCATTCATAATTAGCAGTCAGCGAATGGGACTGCGTTGGGGGGAAATTGAACTGTCAGCGGCGGGGCGCAGGGTGTTTGACCCCATCACGCCCAGAGGGGGCCATCATAATTTGTTCATTTGGTGTCCATCAGGCGGGCACCAGCTCACCCCCTCCTCCTCCCCCGTCTCCCTCCTCACCCCTGTGACCTCCCCCGTAGTGGGCGCTCTGGGTTCACGTCTAATTATGAATCAGCAGAAGGACCCAGAGCGCCACGAATATAGCAGCCCCTGCCCTCCAAACCTCCCGCTGCCACTCAAACTGCAGAGATTGCCTCTTAAATAGGAATAAATGCCCACACGGAAATAGCCAGTCAGTGCTGCGGCCTACGCAGCTATTCGGGAAATATTTGTGTTTTACTGCAGCTGTTGCGACATCTATTTATTATTAACTATAAGTGCAGGTTTCTTGTCTCTGTCTGTGTGTATCCATCACATAACTATGAAGAGGTTACAATTCCTAATAGTCATTTTTCTAACATAAGTGAAAAGGAATTGCCAGTGTAGTTCATTGATTTCCACTGAAATTGACGTGTTCAAGAATTTTCTTGAAATAAACAAAATGAGGGATGACTGATTTAGAATATACCAATTTTTTACTGGTAGTGATTAACAAGAGCTTCAAGGATAAAGAACCTGTGATTCAAAGGCAAAACAATCACTTGTTACATCTTCTCAAAAATGAAGATATTCTGATTTCGTTACTTTCATAGTTACTTGAATATCTTAATAATAGTTTTTTGGCATTTTCATTACTAATAAAATGATTTGTTAATTAAGTGAGAAATAAGCAGCAGGTAATCGATAATAGATTTAAAAAGTAGTTGCAGACATAGTGAATATCATGCAAATACAAAAAAAGTGTTGTCAGTTTGTTAAGAAGTCAGAGGAAGGACAGTTTCTGAATAACAGTCCTCTATTATTGCTAATGTTCTTTAATGGAAAATTTCAAAATTAATCATTTTAGAACATCTAATTTGCTAACAAATTAGCGTAAATGAACTAACCTCTGTCTTTATGCGCTGGAGAGACTTCTTGTTACATTAAAGTAGTTTTAGAAGGCTGTAGTAACATTTATTTAATTCAATTTGCTGTCAAGGTCTTTGTGATGCCCCTCAATTAATTGTCATCTTCTGACTGAAGGGAACAATTAGGCCCTAAAGTCAAACACATGTCCCTTACCTTCATCCACACAACTCTTGTAGAGCATAATGAAATCCTGTCCCTGCTTTTGGAGGCAGACGGTGTCTGAAAACCAGAAATGGATTTTCAATATATTTCCATACATCTCTGTTCTCCCCACACCCCGCTCTGTTAAATTGGCCTTCTTATGCACACGGCACAAGGCTGCCTGCCTCCCGTTAGCCCTTTTGAATATGTCAGCGGGATTTTCAGGTCATTTGCCAGGGAGGATGTCGGGAACGTAGCGTCCGGGCTCTGAAGGTGACTGGTGTCTGTGTCATCCATCACAGGGGCTTCCTTTAAGTTGATGCATAATAGAGCCTCTCAATCAACTTCCTCCCTCATTGTCACCCCCCTCTTTCCTGTCCAGGGGAGCCAAAGCCAAAGGGAGGAAAAAAAACAGAAAGAGGGACTGACAAGAGAAGTCAAGGTTACATCCCTCTTGTTCTCTTATTTACACTTGAGGTGTTATGGGCTTGTGCCTCGCAACAAGACAACAATGGATGGAAGGGTGAAGGGGCTTGTGTGGGCACTCGTGTCAGGCTTTAACTGTCCGCCGTGTCAAATTGGTGATAATAAGCAGTTTGAAGCCTTGTCCTGTCCCCCCCCACCCACTCCTGTCGCTGCCTCCTGCTCGGGGCGCGGCGACAAGACAAGACCTTGAAGCAGGATGTGTCTGTCAGGGAGGTAAATCTCCGTTGTGATGGGGTGGCAAACATTACGGCCAGCTTTATCGACACCGACTGCTCTGACACATCCAAAAGTGGCCCAATAAATTTGCAGGCTGCCGGTGGCGTGACGGGCGCTCGCGAGGGCGTAGTGGCGTTACAGCACAGCGACAAATGTTTGTTTGACCTCCTTCACAGGCACTCTGCCGGGTCTGGGCACAGGAGACACTGCTAGTCTGTCAAGGAGATGAATGAGATAATGTTGTTGATTGGGTTTACGCTGCCTGTAGTTTACTTTTTTTAATGCTGGTGCCTGTATGACACATGAACTCACCTCAAGCCTATTTTTCATACCTACTTACATACCTACATAATTGGCCTTTTAGCTTCTACTGTTTGTGGAGCTGTGTTGCATCATTTAGAGAAGTGTTTCTGTTATTCAGCCCATACCTCCATTGATATACATGGTGCACAAAATTAAAAAGTCACTTCTCAGTGTAAAATGATCATACATGATATACATCTTTAAAATAGTTTCAACAAAAAGTGACTGAGTGACATTATAACCTTTGAAAGGAGGATTTATTGCAGCACTCCTGTATTATACTGTATTACATTTAGCAGGGTGTACCTAATAAATGACAATGCATTCATAAAAAGGTTAGGTCATTTAGAGAAAGAGAAGTCAAACACTGTAGTTACTTTTAGAGTTACACAGCATTTGTCAGCCATGGGTTAATATTAAAGGTGTATTTCACTTTTTTACACATAATAGTCTGTGCACCCTTTTTACAGAGGCTTTATTCGGCCTGTGAAAGCAGTGGTGTGATGTCTTTTGAGGATGTTTTTTGTAAGAAAATAACCCAGATAAGGTTTTGAGAGGAAACAAATATTACAAACAGGGGGTTTAGAGTTTCAAATGGGGCATGCTACAGGCAAATAAGGTGAAATGAAAGAGTTGAGTTGCATGATGAGAAATGTAGGATTGAGGGAATGAAAGGGATCATATCGTGGCTTTGGTTGCTTTGACTTTGGCCACTGCTTTTAAATCATTTAAACTTCTGTCGAGTTTCTCTTTACAGGATTAACATAAAGTGCCTTGAGGCAATGCATGTTGTTGATTTGAAGCTATGCAAATAAAATTCAAAAGAATTGTAAAATCTTGCTCATTTAAGTCATCCATCATGATGGATCTACATCACTAATATTGCCATTAAGACATATTTGCTGCGCCAGTGATTATTGACAGCAGCAGACAGGTGCATGCGTGATCAACTCAAAATAAACTACAGTGCTCATTCCCAGTGAAATAAAGAAAGATGGTGTTAGTATTAGAAAAGACATTTCAAAAAGACTTTCCATAATGCATTAAAAACAATATACAGCATAAAAATGTACATTTTAAATCAGAATAAGCTATAATCAAGCTTTGGTATAATCAAGCTTCGGTTGTAACATGTAAGGTTCTTTTTTGATTTACTTTTGCATCTTTAAAAAATATATAGTGGTGGTCGGCAAGTGCATACCTTTTTCTATAGTGTTGGAAAAAATACAGTTAAAAATATAAAATAATAGATAAAATACCCTGGATTTGCCTGTTTATCAGGATCCACTTGATAACGTCATGTGTCCCTCCTTAGGCCATGTCCCAAGAGCCATACAAGAACCTAACCTTAATAAGTAAATTATCTGATTTCATGATCAGGTCAGTAAATATTTGACATAGTTTTATATTCAGCTTCACCGAAACAACATGCACAGACACCGTTCAACGCGTTGAGCTGTACTACCATGGCTGCATGTTTCCACTTTGTATCTTCACGTTATATACGTCATATTCAATTAGTTTAATTACACACACAACACACATCGCCTCATCTTCTAAATCTGTTGTTAACAGGAACTGCTTTTATACTGCTGGCTGTTGTTTTTTATATACAACTATTTCATACTCTTTTTGCACTTTTTTCTACTTCTGTGAGAGTTATATCTGGCACTGATAAGTGATTTTTTTTGTTGTTGAAGTGTCTTAACTCCTGCTCATTTGCACCAGGATGATATACATCTTTCTAGGTGTTGGCCCTGTGTTGGAGGTGCAGGTGCTAAGTGTTTTAGCGGGTGTGAAACTGCATTATCCGTCCTGGTGTTCCTAAGTAATTAGTGCTGCCACTCAAGACAAAGGAAAGAAAAAACTACACATGCTTGGCGTAATTTTGCGATGATTTTTGTTGGTATAACAGAGGCATGCCTCAAGTTTATACCTATTGTGGGAATATTCTCATATATTAATATATTTATATAACGTGTTGTTTTGTTGCATTGTGTGGGCCTAACAAGAGCTGACAGGTGCCACCGTCAAGTGGTAAAAAAAAAAAAACACCACCAAGTGTGAGTCATTTTCATCGGACTGATGAGAAGTCCAATTTTTTAGGAGAAAAAAAAAACACCACCTCCTTTCTTTTCCACACCTCTCAGAGGTAATGCAGTTTCCTGCCTCTGAAAAGGTAAAAGCCTCTTTTAAAAAGGCCTGCGAGGGGCAGGTTTTGCGCATGCAGGCACTTGTGTTTCTATTCATTAGAGCTTGTTTTTATTCAGCCTGGTTTGACCGAGCATCCAGCCCATTTCCATCTAACTGGGCTGATTTGGAACATTTCTTAAATGGGCCCCTCTTTACCCTACAGAGTTAATGAAGGGAGGGGTGGTGGGGGAGTTTTATCCGCCAGTACTCTGTCCCTGGTCTCAGAAAAGTGCTGCATTCTGGCTGCTGATTGGACACAATGAATTGCATGAATATATGTGATGGAAAGAATGGGGATTCTTGTATTAATCTGTTCACTTGTGTGGATGCATTTGCACTGTAATGCACAAGGCGTCCCTGGATATTGTGTTGATGTGGAGAGCGCTGAGCTCCAGTACTGTGTGTCTGTTTGTTAATATACTTCCTTCTCCACCTGCTGTTGTCAGCAGTTGTTAATAGCTCATGGATCAATCACAGCTTTTAATGACAATAATTACAATTATATTTACGATTCTCAAGAAGTTTGATTCAGCATTGTTTGTCCCACTCCCTGTCTTCCATACGTTTCTTCAGGTCACCACGCCATCTTTCGGCCCAGTGAAAACCTATGAGCTGCTTCACCACATGACGGGAAAGGGTCTCTCTGCCAAGTACCACTTCTCGAGGCAGCCTTGTCTGTACCAGCCCAGTATGGTGGCGGTGCAGGTCATACTGACCAACAGCTCGGATCACAGCCTGGAGGAGATCCATATAGGAGACAGAAACCCTGCGAGCCTGAACGTCCACTGCTTTAACACCATCGGTGAGTACAGGTGACACACGTCCGAATGAATCCACTGTTCCCTCACCAAAAAGACGGAGGAGTTGTGTCCTCACATATTCATGTGTTGTTGAGAATCTGATCCCCATTTGTCTTTGGTGAATCTGTAACACACTCACTCAAGTGTGCAGCATGAATAAAATCTTCTGCAGTATTTACACTCTCATATTCCAATATTTTGATGAATATCATAAAGAGTACCACATTTTAAAGCTAAAATTCCAATATTGAGATAAAAAAATCCTGCTCATTGATTTCTAACATTACCAGCAAATTTGACATTCAAGGATAAGACTCATGATATTCATTCATTTTTCTTTTTCTTTTCTTATCGTCAACAAAACCCATGAAAACAATTTATTCTCATACTTGTCTTTTTGCAGCAAAATGCTGATTCATTCATGCTTTCATTCCTCTATACTAAAGTTGTTCTCAATGTAAACTATTAAAAATACATCAATGAGCCACATTGTAGCACCCGGTAACATGTTAATTCATTGTCATGAACATGGGCTATGAAGTCCAGCGCACATCCATGTTCCCCCTGCTGTAAATACGGCTGTAAATGGGGTTTATTGATATTGACGAAGGTGTAGAATAGATAGGGAAAGGGATAGTTTCCTTTGTATAGAAAGCACATCTGCATATCACTAAGCATGACTTCACATTACCCCTTGACTAAACACTATCTAGAATAACTAAATAAGATAAATTAAAATGAGCATTATGAATCCAGTGGGGATATTTGATGTTTGATCTTCCTTGTCAAGTTCATATTTAAACAGATATACTGTGACTGCTAGGTGTATTGTTTGACTGTAGAGCTCCCTCATAATCTCATTTCCTTTATTTTATAAAAAGCTACTGTACTGTTATTATTGACTTAGTGTCAGACCTCACACATGTAGGGTGACAAGTGGGTCAAACTCCAGCATGACCGCAGTTTTGTATTTTTCGGATTTAAGTCGTGACACAACATATTTTTTCCCCTCCTGTGCAGTGTAAACAATCACATTTATTTCAATCTGATGTTTCTCCCTTTCCTCCTCAATGGAGCTCTGCCTTTACTATGATGGTTTTTCGGGCATATATTAAATGATTATTGTGTTATAAAAAACCTATAAACCTGATTGCTGTCAGCCCAGCAAATAGTCCAATCCCTATCCAGCTAATCCCTGTTCGTTAGTATCGATCAGGACCGACGGACACAGACTTCATATTTCTTGTCACACTGTGGTATGATCGTTACACTGAGTATAATATAAGGCTGGGAGCAGTGCTCCCTCAAGATTTTCACACACACACACAGCCGTGCACTGTGCCGTGGAGCACATTAAAACTGTCAATTGCAGGGGATTGATTGGGCATTGAAGAAACTCAAGCAGCCAAACAGTGGCTAATTTGGATCGATTGAGCCCGGCTACTGTGAGCGTGCGGCTAGAGTTGATTTGGATAAGTTGCAGACGATGAATACAGACAAAGCTTTATGTTTTGTTGTGTGTTAGATAAGGGATAACACATGGCAGAGTTTGTATTTAATAAGAAATACTGCACGGTGCATCTGCAAGGTGCCGAACTTCCCATTGCGGCTCATCTTCATGTTAATGGTTATTGAACACATCATTTTGCTGTTTGAAGTTAGTTGTATTTGTGATTCTGTCACTGTGTATGTCCTGCAATGTGTCATCTACCTTTAATACTTCAATCACCAAAATGAGGAAACCAGATTTAAATCCACTTAATGTTTTGCCAAATAGCACATGCTTATTTTATCAGACCTCTAAATATGCATGATTATTTTTTTTTATTGCGATCCATACAGTATTCACTGGGAAATGGGTGAAAATTCAAAAAGAACTATGTCTGGATCCGCCCCCTTTTCTTCTGGATCAATCCCAAAATTGAATGGGTTTTGTCTTGGAACTCCAAGAACAGGGGTAAAAATTTAACCTGGTGGCAAAATGAATTAGCTATTTGAGTTTTCTGTCTTTTAAAGGAGAATTCATGTACATGGCTTTTAGTTGACCATCATTTCTGTTTGAAGTTATGATGTTGCACTCACCAGTGTAACCACAGCCACATTGAAAGAAGCCTGACAGAGAAAGAAACATCATGATACAGCCTGTAAATATTGGAAATGAAAATGAATAGATACATTTATCCATTGTTAACATCTATCACAGTCGACAGTTGTTTGATGCACCACAGTTACAGTAGTTGTTTTCAAACTACACTCAGAGGTGAGTACAAGACTGTGATGAATTAGTGATGGAAATGATTATAAATATGAACGTGAGACCTGAGTTATAATAAACCAGATTGCATAACTTGTTTAAATGAGCAGTGTCTGAAAGCAGAGCAGAAGACCCAGCAGATTTTGCATTGAATGCAATGTGACTTCGAAGTAACATCGAAATAGCAACAGAAGAATGATAGTTGTTTTACAGTTTGAACAAAAGTCTTTAGCCCCTTGTTGAATCTTGAAATCCTTTAGACTTCAGATGACATTCCAAATTGTTTATCTTGTAGTTATATATATTGACACAGGATACCAGGGGGTAGTAACAAAGACAGTGTGAGAGAAGCTGTGAAGGCTGGATTAGGAGTGAGTCCATGATGGCTCTGTTTTCAGAGGGTTTCCTCTGGAGCCTCTGCTCCGGCTTTAGAAAGAGTTATAGAGTAAGATAGCCCTGCTCCACAGAGAGAGAAACACAGGCCGACTGGGGGAGCGTGGAGGATGTTTCTGTCTGTCTGCGTTCTTCACATCCGTAACCTCCCCCCTCCTCCTCCTGTAGCATTCAGCTGTCCAGACTCCCTCTTCAGCATTTTTTGGCTTTACTTAACGAACTCGCGTTTCTCCCACTCCGTCCATCTCCCTTACCGCGTCTCTCTTGATGCTGATGCTCTCTTTGACAAGCCTGTAGTTTTGGAAATATGCTAGTCCTTCATGTGTTTTTTTTTTTTTTTTCCTGAGGCTGGACGTGTGGGGAATGAGATTGAAGGATGGATTTCTCACACACGGTGGCCTTGCTTTGTGAAGTAGAAAACACAAGTGGTGTGGATGCCTGTCTGTTCCACTCTGCTGCTGCCCCCCCCCCCTCAGCTTCCACCCCTCTCCCTTTGCAGCTCCATCCCTCCACCGCGATGCACTGTGCCCTTGTCACTCACTCTTCCTTTTTTCCTTTCGTCTTTCCTCCCCTCTTTTCCATTCTCAGAGCGACTGGAGCCAGAGGCCTCAGTGACGGTTTCCATGGGTATTGACTTCAGCGACTCGACGCAAGCAGCCAACTTCCAGTTGTGGTAAGACGACCTGACATCCTCTCATATCAAGTCAGGTGTTTTTTTGTTTTTTTCCTCTCAGATTTCCAGGTGTACATCTTTTTCACTTGGTGCTCTCTGCCACACATCCCTTTCTGTCTACACCATCACATCTCCTTTATGTTTCTCTTAAGTCCATTTGTTTTCTCTCTTCCCCTTTTCCCCTCTCTCATCTGTTCTTTGTTAATTCTCCTTTTCCTACCCCGCTCTGTGCCAGCACTCCCAGGTGAGACATCAGCCACAATTGATCCCGGTTCACTGGGATAACAATTATTCCTGCAGTAATCAGCCCCTGCCCAAATCAACCTGCTGAATGCAATTGGCACCGCTGCTCAGTCGATCAATAACCTTATCAGAAAATCTGTTCGGGATGGGGGAATCAATCCGGCCCAAAATGCCATTCACAGAGCGTGGTTTGCAAAGCAATCAGAAGAGAAACATTTAATACACAAACAAAGCATAAACACACACACTCACAAGCTCTATACAACACGGGTTCTCTATTCATCCAGATTAAGATGAATTGGAAATACAGAAAATCCTGATTAACTCTTTATGTTAGATATTCTATAAATACATCACTCTTCCTGTACTCTTGTCTTTTCTCCATCAGCACCAAGGAGGACCAGTTCAGTGTGTCCATCCAGCCGGCTGTAGGAGAGCTGTTTATGCCCAGTACCATGGCAGAAGAGGACTTCTGTAAGGAGCAAGGTGAATTCAAATTAAAGATCGTCACTATTACTTAATATAAACTGGAATTGTACCAATTCAAAATCATAGGACCCGTGCTGACCTTGTCGTTGCTTTTATCAAATATTATTTACTTGCTAGAAAATCAAACATCAAGACAGGGATTTGTTTTAAACACAAATATGTAATGTAAATAGTCTAATTCTCAAATAATCCCTGTCTGTACCCTCAAGTGGAACTGATCTCAAACATACCTTGGCATTTCTGAGTGTCAGTTTCTTTTCATCCGCCCAAATCTACATGATACAGAAATATTTGCTCAGTAGAGTGTATGTACATCTGCCAAGGCCCAACAGTCCCTTTTATGAAACCACATTTGAATTCACTAGATCCAGATCTAGATTCAGACAACAAATTTCACACACTTAAATCTCAGTTTCCTAAAAATGCCTGATTTTTTTTTTAACAAGATCCATTAGTTTCTCAGAGAAATCGACGACAATGTTGAAAAGCATCAAAGTTAAGAAAGCGAATAAAAGTTCCTGGATCCACAACATGATGGGATCCTTCTTGGGTCATGCACTACCCCTCCGCAAAATTTCATGAAGTTTTGTGTAGTTTTTGTGTAATCCCGCAAACAAACGTAGACCGAAGCCTAACCTCCTTGACGTAGGTTATAATTGGTAGATTGATCAGTTCAGCTCTGGTAATGAAGGAACATGTCGCTCAATGTTACTTCTGGCTCATGTACATGTTTTAAACAGTGTTTGAATGGCACAGAGAATTAAATCAGGCTATTGATGAACTGACAATAAATTATAAAAGTCAATTCATGTTTGGTTTTGGTCTTTGGAATGAGATTTGTTTACCATAAGAATAAATATAAAATATTGTCAAATCTATTATTTAAAGGTCATTGAATTGTTACAGATGAAAAATACAATTTTCACACAATCTCACTTTAAATCTTGTATTTACACTCACGGTCTTTCTTCTTTATTGTCTGCAGTTTTCATAAATGATTTCTACAAACAAATAAAATTAAATCCTGGCCTGCCTCTAAAAATGTCCTCCCCCTTAACTCATTAGAGCAAATTGCTTTCTTCTTATGAAGCACTTAATGGTATTTCCAAAACAAACCTCCAAAGCACAAGCGCACACACACCTGTAGAGCTACGTACTGTGGCAGCCATTGAGAGCTGAGAGCGCACTCATATCTCCGCCATCAGTGTTCTCTCTAAGTGCCTTCTAAATGCTGGTTCTGCCTTAATTAATATGCATTCACTGTGTTTTGAGTTCTGCTGAATACAACTGGCACTCAGACAAGGATTGAACAGAGAAGAACAAGTTGCCTTCCTGGACCCTGCTCTCTGGAACACGATGCCACATTATAGCAATTGAGTGAAGTTAATGAATTCTTTCATTTAACAGGTTTTCATCATATTTGCCTTTAAGACCTCTTTTATTTCTATCAAACTTGTGCACATTTATCTCCATTCATTTTTTATTTTTTAATAAATTCTTGCTCGTTGATAAGATCATTTTTGAAACTTTTTTTGCACCATTTTCTTTGCTTTTACCGATTTTATTAATCATCTTGTTCTGTTAGTGTCAGCCCAGAAATCAGGAATTGTAATTATTTTCATGGTTTTATAAACACACAAGCATATATTTAGTCTTGATTTAAACTGCAAATACATTCAATTTACAGTAGTAACTGAATTTGGTCTCTGTTTTTCTGGTTAAACGTTTTTGCATCTCCTCAGGTAAACTCCTGGGCATGAATGAGACCTCGGAAACCATCACCATGGCAACAGCAAACACCTCCAGCCAGACCATCAGCAAACATGTCCTGTCTGTGGCCAACGTTGGAGTGGTGTCGTCCAGCCAGAACGTCCACAGGTGAGATGTTCGGCCATGTGTTATGTTTTTGTCAATGGTGAAATGAATTATATAAATGTTGTGACTGTACTCACTGGGATCTTTAGTGTTTACTTTATGGATTGTGAACATTTTCATTCTTGAAATAAACTATTTAAAAAAACATATAGATGGAACCAAAAACATATGAAAGGCTGATGTCTTAGAGATAATGGTTTTCCAAGTAAAACATTTCTAAAATATATTTTATTAGTGATCTGACTGCATTTTATTATCCAGGTTACTTTTATGTAGATGATGTGCAGTTTGAAGTGAGGTATGTGATGTATTTTTTCCATGTCTTGACAAGCATTTCACACTAAGTGATGCGTGTTTACTATTTCCTGTCATCTTTTGGAAAGGTTTACCCACAGAGCAATAAGGAGCAGAGGGATGATTTCACAGTAAATGACACAAATCAGTAGAATTAGTTCTGTTTGGTTATTAAATGAAAACGAATGAGGAATTGAATAGTCTACATTCAATTTGTTTCTCTTGGTCTTGGTATGTTTGTTAGCTTAACTTAGCATAAAGACTGAAAACATGGACTTGTATCCTGGCTCAAACAAAATCCATCTTCTAGCAAAAAGCAAAGCTAAAGTCAACGACTGCAGTTTCACAATGGTTTATGTAGCGACTGGCTGGTAGTTAAATGCTGGTGTCTGTTTTGGTTAACATGTCACATGACTGCTGACTATAGCTTAGTGTACAAATATATGCTGGTATCAATCCTCTGGTTACTCTCCTCCAGAAAACCAGTAAGCATATTAATATATTCAACTATCTTTACCTAGTATTTTTAACAGTTCATTTAAATTGAGAACTTCCCTCATTAAACCTTCCCTGAATCCACACAGTTAGGCTGAGGTTGATTTTTATTTTCTATTTTACTTTTTAGGTGTGATATATAGTGTGACATTAGCATTAGGCCTCAGCCCACTGTGAAGCTATACTTTTTATACAAAGCCTATTTTGTCTTTGATAAACACATCGTATTTGTCTGATATTACATATTATATGTCACAGTCTGAAGTGAATATCAAATTATACTTTAAATTGAATCGGCTAAATCCTGCGTGGGTCTCACTTTCGAGAAGGACCAGAGTTCATGCAAATTATGAAAGATACTGAAGGACAATAATACACATACAAGTGTGTGAAATACAATAATAGAAGTAAATAATAAATACATGAAAGTGCAAACTTATATCATTGCATGCAAACACAAACTCAACCCTAGAAATATGTGTGTCAGCAGGAGCAAGATTGATGAACAAAACTTCACATCAGGAGAAAAATAAAAACAGAAATCCCACTTTGAAACTGTTCTGAGAGTCACATATCATTTTATACATGGACTTTGTTTCCCGTGTCAGAGAGCGATAAGATGAATGTTCCTGGCTACATGTGCCAGTCATAATTGTGCTTTACGTGGAGCTTAGTGGAACGGTGCGAGTATCAGAGAGTGAAAGTGCCTGTGTTCCTGCTCACCCTCACACACACATGCCAGGGGAATGCCCTGAGAAGCCTGGCTGTGTAATTGGTGTACACAGAGTGTGCTAATGAGCTTCCTCCTCTGTCACGCACACCCGAACACCTGATAGATAATTACACCTCCCTCTCTCCCTCTGTTTCCTGCTCTGTCTCTCTCTCTCTCGCCTCATCTCTGCACCCCACCCCCCATCTGTCTCTCCCTCCGCGCCGCTGTCTCTCTTTCACTTCCTCTTTGTCTTTCACTCCATCCCTCCACGCCACAATCTGTCCTCCTCCTGCTTGTCTCTCTCTTTCCGTTTGTCTTTGGTGATAATTTCTTTTATAGATTTAGCTTGAATTAGAGGATGTAGGAGACTGGGACAGCGGGGGAGTCAGAGTGGGGGGGTAAAAAAAAATAAGGAGACCACAGCACAAGGGCACAGAGAGCTGAAAGAGTGAGAGGAGATCAATGTGAGCCAGTGGGAGAAGCTGGCATCCAATAAGCCCATACTTCATTCAGAATAACCAATAACTCACATGACTCCAGGCTATCAATCTCTCTCCTGCTTCGGTGATGGCTAAAGAGGACGACAGTCTCCCAATGTTATCCTGCAGACTTTTAGTTATAAAGACACTTTCATATTGTCTGGTTGTGTCCATGCCACTTATTGGAAATGATGGAGTTACTCACTGACAAAATCCTCAGTGTTTGTCTCCTCAGACTGAACATGTGGGTTTGACAGCCTTGTCTTTGAGAAACACAAAGAAAGCATGTTTGTGTGCTTTATATGTGACATTTATCCAGATAGTTCCTCTACTTCTGCCCAACTATGGTTTAGATTCAGTGCCATTGGCTGCGCAGGTTCAGGATCTTTTATTTAAGGTGATCAAATAATTTCTCATATAATTACGTGTTCCAGTTTGTTTGTTTGTTTGTTTGATTTTTAGTTTGCATGATCAGGCTAAAACCATGGGCAGGGGGCGGATCCAATTTCTTTTTTTCATTCTTTAATATTGTGAGAGGGTGTTTTGCAACATTTTAGTAATTTCTCAAAGAATAATTCGTAGATAAAAATGAATATTTAGGGGACTGATATTTTGATCTAGATCTGCTTTGAGGCTTGTTCATTCTGTCAACCCGTTTTCCATCTAAATTAACCATTCGTGGCTTTATTTACTATATTTAATATTTTCTATAACTTCCTTTTCCCAACTGTGGCACTAAACCAAGTCTGAGAGAACAATATTACAAGGATTATTATGTATTGATTGTATTTATTATTATCAATAATACCAAAAAATAATGAGAAATGATCATTACAGATACAGTATGGGAATCCTCAGATTTTGTCCTGTCACCAAAATTAAAACAAAATAAAAAAATAAATTTTAAATATAAATCAGAGTAAAGCAACAAATCGTTACATTTTTAAAAAAAAAATTGATCCAGAGATTGTTTGACATTTTTTCTGCTTAATCACGATCATCCGAATTATTGTTGATTCAATTGACTGTTGAATTAATCAGCTTATCCTTTCGGGCCCTGTAATTATATCACGGTCACTGTTGCCTGTTGCTGCCGCATATACTTTGATTAACAGAGGGATCGATCTGATCGGATACACCCACTGAGAGCTTATTGTGGGGGTCATTAAACGTGACGAGAGAGGTGACCTCCATCCAGGGATCTCTGACAAGATCACACAAAGTACCTGCCCTCACAGGAGTGGGAGTTTGGGTTTAGTGTAGAAATAATGGATGGCATTTCAATAAGAAGCCTATGAATGATAAGTGTGCTCTAAACTGAGCCCAGGTATCGACTGCAGCTCCGTATATGACACAGGTTTGGTTGAACAAAGCGACAGTCTGCCTCCCCCTCTGCACCACTGCATCCCTGCAATCCCATTGTTTATCAGCAGGGTGCAGCACTGCTTTTCCCCAAACAGGCGCTGGGGCCAGCGGAGGGGGATGCCACAGAAACACAGAAATTGATTGCTGGAAAGGAGGATGGCAATAAATCAAGCAGGAAAGCAAATGTAGACAACGCTGTTCTTGTTTATGTCTAAACAGGCGGAATAGAATAAATGTGCTCTATTTTTCAGTCCGTTTGAAAGCAAATTTGATCGAATTTTGCATGCATTGCCAATCCCTCTGGTTAGAGCCTAATTTAAAAAAAAAACTGTACCCCTTGATTTATAAGCTATGCTTTCTCTTTACACTTTGATATAATTAAATTATATTTCTTTAAACATTGTGAATTTTCCTCTTTTCAGTGAAGTTGAATTCTTGTTCCTATTTACAATTTAATTGAGTGTCATTTATAACCTGACTAATTAAACGTCTGGTCGCTCCATTATAGATTGCTTAGCAGACACTGTGGCATATGATCTATCTTCAGATGATTCGAAATGCACCATGAAACCGATGTAACGTGGGTTATTTTCAGATAATGAAGACGCAACATGTTTATCTCAGTTATCGGTAATGTGTTTTCCTCAAGCCCTTGAGTTAAGTTCTCATCTCCTCCTCCCAACATGTCCCTGTTCTTCTACAGCCTCTGTCATCCATACATCCTCTGTACCTTTCATGTCCGTCCGCCCTTCGATGGAACACTGTGCTGTGTGTCCGTATGGCCGAGCTCTGGAGATGTGTGAAGGGTTCCTGGTTGTAATTGGGGCTAATGGCTCTGGCCATCTGCCTGCTCTGAGCCTGGTCACTTGTGTGTTCTGGCCTCGCTGACCAGTCAGTTGAAGGACACTCTTCCACTTGTCCACCTGGCCTAGAACCAGGATGGAACAATAGCGTCCAGCCTCAGCCACCGCAGAGTTGCCCTCAGCCTCTCCGAGTTTCAGATTTTAGTGAAAACACGATGCACTTTAATCGTTTCCAGAGAATGATAAAACATGGCTGAGGGTTTTCTCGAGATGCAGGGGGATCGTGTTCTCCTGCATTCTTGGTTGCTGGGCCGAATCATCAGCGGCCCGTGTCGTCTCGGTGTGAGGGTGAATGCAAAGGTGAAGCCCACTTTGTGTTTGCAGTGGCAGGGTGGAGGGGAGGCAGATGGCACACACAGGCTCTCTGCACTGAGGAGAATCACAGATAATTGGAGAGTGATGCTTAGCCGCAGCCCTGCCGATCGATGCCAATCCGCCTGCTCTAAGTCCAGGGGTTATGCTTTGCTTTTCTTTCCATACACTGCAATTAATCCAGTGTTTAGCCCAGTATGCGAAGAGTGCAGGAGAATACCAATGACCCGTTTAAGGCCCCGCTTGTCCTTAATCTTTCCCATCTAGTCCTTAAAAATGCACTGATGTCGTGTTAGACCTGGCCGTGATGTGGAGCCGGTCTCTGCGTTTGACCGCGCACCAACAGCAAAGTAGAAATATTCAAAGGGAAACTGCGCTTGGAAATCAAACACAATCACAACACGCTCCTGTTTCTTTGACTCGCTCTTATTCCATCACATGAACAAATGCCCGCAGCAGCGTCTCCTGAGACGAAATGAAAGCAGCCTCAGGCTAGTGTTAACTGGCTGAGTAAATGATAGATTTATATCCTAAATCCATTAGCAAAGCCACAGGGACCACATAGACACCTTAAGCTGGGGACAGTGGGGGCGAGAGGGGGGCTGGGGGAGCTGGACACGAGACGAGCGTGCATGTTTATGGCTTGCGCATTGAAACAAACATGCAAATGAAGACAGAAAAAAATATTATTTTCAGCTGTGGGTTTTTAAGGTTTGAACAAACCACATCCTGGATTTCAGCAGTAAGTCATTCAGAATAATATACAACCCTTGAATAATTTAAAGAAGCCAGAGCAGAGTAAAGAGTTGGTGTTTCTGAGAGAAATGATTCCTCTTCTTGAATGGCTTGTGTTTCCTGCTGAAGTGGCTAATATTTTAATTAAGCCTGAGGAGGACTCTCTCTCTTCTCCCTGAGAGCTCCCTGATAAACTCCCTTCCCTCTGTTGATGGTAATTTAGCAGCTCCCCAGAGACACACCCAGACACACTGGGTTTGTGAGCCAGCACCGAGTCATTGTGTATGCTTGTACCCTCCGTGCCCCCACCCTCCCGTCCCCATTTTTAACTTGTGCGTGCTAATTGGTGGACGTGCTAGTCGCTTCCATCGCGCAGCGCAGGGTGGAGGGGCTCTTGTGACAGCGCCTGTCCACAGGCCGTCCTGCGGGGCCTCTTCACCAGCTTTAGTCAGGCCTAAGTGGGGCTCTTTGTGGGCTGTTTGTCAGGCCTAAGCGGGCTGCCACGGGGGGTCTTTGTTGCAGGGATGTAGTGCTAAATGGAGGCAGATGGCTGGGAGTTAGCCACGTGAGGCTCCGAGATGCAAAGGGCCAGAGGGGAGCGGGAGAGGGGGCCCAGTTCGGCTCTGTCACCCTCAAAGAGGGTCACAGTGGGTCATAGCCCCTGTCTGCCTCTTGTTAGCACTCTCAATGGGGACCATGTGCACCCAGATTTGCCCCTGGTCCGGAGGGACGGTATCCAAGGAAACGAGAGGGACTGAGAATTCTAGCCACGGCCCAGAGGGAGCTGGTGGGACAGGGCATCCCCCATCCTCGTCCCAAGGCTCCCACACACTCATAGACACCCACAGTCCATAAAAACAGGCTAAATTTGGATTGACTGGCATGAAGGGCGTGTCTCACTCCTAATGGCTCTTTAGTCAGTTGGAATAATAGACTGTCTGTTGCTTCACTCTCTATATTTCCTGTCACATCGTTTTTCCTCCTTTGTCTCTCTCCCTAATTTAGGGTAATTACAAGGTGTGAGATGTTAGAGAATTTTCTAATGTGAGGATTTATGAGTTGAGGTGAGAAATGTGAGTTAAGTGCAAAGGTCTATAGCTGGCCAACACATTTATCTTTATTTTGAAGCTGCTTGATGTTTGTTATACATTAGCTGTTCAATAATATAGTAGTCACTGGCTTCACATCTGTGTTTTTGTGTTAATTATGTTTGTCGAAATGAAAAAGGGAACATTTTGGCAGCAATATCACTACAGTCGGAGTTCATACCTCTGCCAAGGCCCAACATTCCCCTTATGAAACCGAATTTAATGATTTTTATTTGTATTTGCACCAAATTTAGCACTCTCATGATTATCAGTCCATGAACCATGTATGTTTTTTTTTATCAATCCATGAATTATTCTCTAATAAATCACGGAAAATGTTAAAAACATCCAATCTTGCGATGTTAAAGAAAGCAAAAAAAAATCCTAGATCCGTCCCCAGGTCCAGATACGCGCTACAGTTTGTCTTGGGTCCACAAAAGATCAAGGAAATTGACAAAAACATAACCTGCTCGGCGAAGATAATAAATGCATAGTAGAAATCATTACAAATAATGTACAGATTAGTCTCATTCTGCTTGAGAAGTGAAAAGTAAATGTCCTTGTTTTTATTTTTAAACAGCATCAGATTCCTGACACCAGCCGTCATCATCAATCTGTCCACTGATGATAAATGGCTGAAATGTACTTTTCATGCAACCTATTTGCTTCAACCAATCTGATGGAAGTGTCTGTTTTTTTCAAATTTTTACTTTTGCAGATGAATCCCCCTTAAAATGTGTCCGACAGGTGGATGGAAGCATATTTCTTAATTAGGTTTTTGACATCTAACCATGCTGATAATTATTATTTATTATTTAGTTTTCTAGATATGTCTCACTTAGATTTATCCCCAAATACAGAAGAGGAGAAGGGGATTTTTTTTTTTGTGGTTCTGACCCATGTGATCTCATTCACCTGCAGGTTTGCTGGGCGGACGGTCAGCAGTGGAGCCCTGGTCTTGGTGTCGCTGGAGATGAAGGAATCCTCCTGTGCCCTGCTTACGATCAACACAGAGAAGAGCGTCATGGCGTCCATGTTGCTCCGAGACCTCAAACAAGCCCTCGCCCAAGCATAGAGCGCACCCTTGCCTCGCCCCCCGCTCCTGCCAGGTTCTTGTAGTAAAGGTAAAGGGGGAGGAAACTTAATACAATATTTCATACGTTTTATTTCTGTGGTTTGGGACGATTTTGGAGTCCTAAGGCCTGAGACTGAAGAGCTAGAGCTTGAGCTTGTGTGCTCACAGACAATGAGCGATCAGCGATTTTCAGTTGTATGGTCCGTCACTTTGGAAAGGATTGTCCTCAACCACAGGAATAACTTTGTGAAAGCATTGAATTAGGTGTTGATCCTCTTTAAAACACACAGAAGACATCATAGATGTGATATTACCTTTTTAAAAATGGGACACTGCCCTCAACTATTCTGTTCATCCAACTTTGTCCTTCAGAAGTCGCACCTAAACATGACACTCCTCCATCACGAGAATGTCACGCCACCTGGTGATATTTGTGCATGAGGCAGTGATGATCTTTGTTTTTTAGTGCCAAGAGAAGCAGAGTAGCAGTGCCAACCCGAGTGAACATTGTCATACATTTATAAGCCTTTATAAACCAAACTAGTCCCTGAGCCTGTTACAGTTTTACATTCCAACCTTAAAACTGCCCGAAACCACATTCGTCAAAGTGCCTTTCACATGAAAATAATGTTATTTAGAATACCAAACATAGAGATTAGACGTAAATCAACAAGGTCTTTTTATTTGTATCGCCTTTGCTGAATAAAAAAAAAAGTGAACTTAAACTTTTTTCTTTGTGTCTTGCTGCTGGTAACGCTTTGGGTGTATTTAGTGACGGTGCTGTGATATATCATCATTTAGATGAGTGTGGCTGAAACACAAGAACGTTAACGGTGAGCTCTGCTAATGGGCTGAAGTATAAACCATGCACTCACAACATCGCGACTTGCATCTATTGGCAACACTTATCTTGTATCGGTGCGTGAGGGGTTCAGTATCTTGGAATCAAACTGCCAACCCTCTGGTGAGTGGACAACCCGCTCTACATCTTAAGCCACTTTCTTGTATCCTTTAAAAACAGCTCATGGTCCAAACGTGTCTCCAGGAGAAAAGCTCACAGGAAAGTTTTCATAACTAACAACGAAAGTGTAACTTGTTTTTTCACAAATCCACTGTAGATACCAACGCAAATACAAGGCTGGTGTTAATGTCATTAAATAAACCTTGTAACATGATATAAAACTCAGAGCCAGCATGTGAAGAGAATTTGGACAGTTTTCTATTTGAGCAGATTAGTATTCTCACAAAAACATTTAAGTTGAATTTGAATGTCGGGGCTTGTGGACACTTGGATGACACCACACGAGCAGTATGGAGGCATTTTATGTGTTTTCCTGTTTTATTACGTCTGAAGAAGAGGACACCATTCACTTCAATTGTATTGGATTCTGCTGCAACGCTGTTTACCCCTGAAACTCCAAAAGTGTGGACTCAAACACTTCACCCACCCACCCATCCGTTCGGCACAGTGGTGAGTAGATGATGAGTCCATTTTCATTTTTCGCTGAACAATCCCTTTAAGAGTTCAGCAAAGTGATCGTAGGGTTGTTTCTCTGCTGCAAACTGAAGAAGCCACGTTAATGCAGATTAAAGTGCAGGGTCGCTGTGTAAATTCATTTAATGTTAATATTCTGTGTACGGGGATGTTCTGCAGGGGACAGTGATGAAAGGGCATCAGCTCCACTGTCGAGTAAAAATGCTTTTAGCCAACTCCAGCCTGTCCATTGCCTAAAGACACTTCTCCTGTGTTGTTCATCGTCGAGTAAAGTTGTGCAGACGTACGTGATGTGTTTTAGCGTCGAGCGTGCCGGCGGGGTAGTGTGCTTTGCGTCTGGCTGTCTTCTCTGGCTCATAAATAGCGTCTCTCTGAGGGCCGTGGTGAACACCTGTTAGCTCATCTGTCACAGGAGCTCCACTCGCATCCATCACCTCTCCCTCTGTACTCATTCCCTCAGCCAGCTGTTCCCATTACACACACACATGCACGAGCGCAGTGTCAGACCTCACACACACACACACACACACACACACACACTCACACCTTCCAGAAGTATTTACCCATTTTGCAAGTTCCTTCACAAAACGAAACAACAAATGGAAATCAGCGAGTGTCGGTGAAGTTCTGTGCTCAAAGTAAAACACAATTTTCCACCATTTTTTAAGGCTTCAAACAAACAGTGACATGCTGGTGTACAGACTGAATCCGGACTCTTCAGAAACAAGCCCACAGCTCCATTCAGGTGGGAATAACATCACAGAGGGAGTTGGGGGGGATGGAATTGTTCCCTGTAGGAGAAGGGGGGAGACAGACGGTGCACAAGATCAGACAGTCAGATCTTTACCCACAGACATGAACATACACACGTAGATACAATGACAACGTTATTCTCTTTAATTCTCTTATATGTCCGTCGTGAATAATCATAATTCTGCTTGGAAACAGACTGACTGCTTTTAACTCCAGAATTTCCCTGAGAAGAAAGCAGCGTTCCTTTCATGCTAAAATACATGCCAAACGTTTTAGATGTTTTTACACATTATCTAATTTCACACTGTGCTGATTAAAAATGAAAGTATACAGACGAGCAACTCTTCCTTTGGAAAATGTTGCTCCAGATGGGTTTTGAATTTAAACCCCAACCACCTTTAGAGAAACAAATCCCATCCAAACAGTGAGAAGGTTTTATATATTTCTACTTAACTTATTTACTTTGGGCTTAAATCATCTATTCTATTGTTTTTTTTCTAATACGTGATCACACTCCCAAATCCTGAAATTTCCTCCCAGCTCACCGTTGGCGTATTGAAACTCAACATAAATCTATGCGTGTGCTGTGAATTTAGATGCAAATGACACAGATGTAAACAAACTCTTTAGGAGTGAATTTAGAAACTTGAATCCAGCAGTTTTTCTGCCTCTGCGTCCACATTGTGCTGTGGTAGCTTTTCTTTGACCAGTTTCTGCTGTTGACAACTCACTTAACTCCCACCCAGAATCTAAAAACACTGCACAGTGTTCCACGTTGTAATTATTTTTAATTAATTATGAGCGTAAACAGAAGAAGAGAGCAGCCGGTATTGGACATGTCGGCATAAACAACAGAACCGCACAAAATGTGTTGCTGATGGCGAGGGATTTCAGAAAGAGTTACTCTTTTTGTCTTTTACTAATTCAGTTTTATTATCATTACTAATCCCAGAAACAACTAGAGACAAACACAAGTATATTAACTCACATATAGTTTGAACAGATTATAGCTTCTCTTTGTTTCATTTTAGTCACTGTAATGTTTATGTAATTAATGGAATTAGCATTTTTATTGCTGCATTTATAATCAAGATTGAAAAACAGGCCTGCAGATGTAAATTCGGTGGTAGTGGATTGTGGGTTTTTTCCCCCCCCACAGTGCAATGCAGAGAGCCGGCTGTGTGCACGTCCTTTCCATTTGGACCACATTTCTGATCATCTAAAGGGAAAATATGCAGTTGTGATTCCGCGATTGATTACTTACTGTTTTAATGAAAATTTGTAAGACGACATTCGCGGCCCTCTCCAGATGAATCCTAATGCTTTAGTTCATCGTCTAACTTTTCATCCAGTGCCACCATCAGGTCAAAACTTTGATTTTCCTCTTACTGGTTTATGACAAATACAAATACATTGTTTAAATGTGTGTTTATTTCTATTTGCACATTTGAGCGAACTGGATGTAATGATGCCACTCAACTGTTTCACAGTGGCCACTGACAGTATTGCAATGAAGAAAATGTCTTTCAGCTCAATAAGAGTTTTTGTCATAAAGCACAATTATTAAAGAAACAACAACAACCACCAGCAGCAAATAATTTCTCTTATCAGTCTGATGCACATGTGGAAGCAACCAAAACACAACTGGAATCTAGACAACATTTTGGATAACGTGCTCAGTGAGCAAATATCACTTGAGTGAGCAGGTGCTATCTTTGAATCCATTATTCAGTTCTTTTAATACCTCTAGAATGTTAGCATGCTAACACAAAAAATTAACCAGCCAAACAAAGTATTTTAACATCGTCGTTGTAGCTTAGTGCGTGGAAGAACCTATGGTTCAAGGAGCATAAAAACACAATAGGCCCTGCAGATTCTGGTTTGTCTGTTCTGGGCCACAGTAGAAATCGATTCTAGCCAACTCCAAATGGGCAGATTAAGAACAGGCACTGCACTAGTTCACCCAAATACTACACACTCTACCTCTATGTACAGCCGCACGAAGCTGGTAGCGTGCATGCGTGTCTTAAGCTTGTTTACAGATTTTGATCTTTGAAACTCGAAAATTAAGCAATTATAAGAACACTTTCCTTTCTCTGTGTGTGTGTGTGTGTGTGTGTGTGTGTGTGTGTGTGNTGTGTGTGTGTGTGTGTGTGTGTGTGTGTGTGTGCGGGATCCATCTCCTGGTGTTGGCACCTGCTATAATGGCCTCTGGGGAGGGAATGAGAGAACGGGGTGGGGGCTGCCTCTCCTCTCCCCCCTCCACCACCACTCTCCCTCTACGTCGCTGTGCTGTGACAGCTTGATTTCGTTCCCTCTCTGGGCTGCAGCACAGTGACATGATGGGCGCCTTCAGCTGGTCTCATCACGGCCTCCGCTTGAAGAAAGTACAGAGAGGATGGAGGGAAGGTGAGGAGGAGGGAGGGAGAGGGGGAAACGCCTGCCTGACCTTAGCACTGAGAACAACTTCTCATTAGCCGGCACGTCTCTGATCACAGCCCCTCGCTCATCTGTCGGCGAGCTGCACAGATACAACACACAAGCACAAGCATTGAGGGCAGTGTCAGTGTTAAGTCATGGATTTCCTCCTTTAAGAATATGAGATTTCGATTTGATGCCGCCTGCTCATTTTCACCGTCTTTACTACAGCTGAGTTGAAGGGTTGGGTTCTGACAACTCCTTTGGAAATAATAAACGTAAAGTGGTCTGGTCTTCTTGTTGGAGGCTGAGAGCATCGTGGCCAGATTTGGGGTCTGGGGTCGTCCCCAATTAAAAGCTGGTCTGAATCGATTATCTGCCCAAATGAGAACGTTTTCTAAAAGCTACAAAGTGGATCGGAGGGTGAAAGGAGATGTGTTGTTGATCAGAAGCCCACAGCCAATGAGGGGGGGGCTGACCAGATGTTGCATATCAACATAATATTTTATTTGACTCACCTCCAGCTTGCATGTAAAATGTATAAGCCTTGAAGATTCCATCTTCTTCATCCATCCATAGTTTCTTTTCTTGTGTTTCTGGTGCAAATCATATCTCACGCAATACGACCAACAACAATTGTTTGTTTGTTAGATCACATGAATTATTGCCACTGGTAGAACTGTATTGTGAGTTGTCATAAGTCTTTATGATTAAAATCTTAAAAGTAGTTTACATCTGTTATGTATGTGGTCTCCCAAAGTTCCTTTGAAAATTGGTAGTTATTTAGTTTTTATTTATATAGATGCTTTAAACCAAAGAGAATAAAATACTTGAAACGGTTTTGCATTATAAAGAAAAACGTATGTACAGATAGTATCATGAGATAATATTACAAACAGCAAATCCATTTCAAGGAGGATAAAATGTTTTTAAATACACATTAACAACCATCGCAGGCTGCAACTACAAATAGTGTCTCAAAAAGAAAGTTATTTTTAAAAACTTCTTTTGAAATTAACACTAATGCAAATCTGAATGTGAGTTTAAATTCAGTACTCC